ATCATAATGGTATAATTGTTTGTATAAGATATTTATCTATCTAAAAGTATACACAGAAAATACAATTTTATATTGGTTTGATATGTATTTCTTTTATCAAGACTTTGTTTATTAAAATTTTTTATAAAAAAAAATTTTCAATAAAATATACAAAGGTGTTCCAATATCCCTCTTGTAAGAAAAGATGAAAAGATACACAAAAATGTTTAGTTTTGGTATTGTTAGAAACTGGATTTTTCAAACCCTTGTTTTGAATTAGTTTTTGGTAGCTAAAATGCTTCCTACAAGTCACACTGAACTAGTGAGACTAAAATAGTCTACATTTTCGAATTTTACGTCTTTTAAGAATAAATAACAGTAATTTTAAGCTTGAAAAAATTGACCATTTTAGCGATTTTTTGCAGTTTTTAAGTCTCTTAGAAAATTAGTAATCATGGTAGTAAAATTTTTGAAAAATTTCTGGAGTTTGTAGGAAATTTTATGTAGATTTAGAATATATAATATTTAATAGCTTAAAATTTCAGTTTTGCAAGAAACTAGATTTTTCGAACCGTTGTTTTTCGAACGATTTTTCAAGGTAACTAAAATCTTACCTACAGGCCTCCTACAGGTCGTACTGAACTCGCCAGGCCAAAATGGCATATATTTTCGTGTTCTACGCTTTTTAAATAGTAAATAACAGTTTAGTTTTTTTTTTTTTTTTTTTTTTTTTTTTAAAAAATTTCATAGTATGTATGAAAACAAAGATAAAAAAAATTGACCATTTTTGGCTGTTTTTTTTTTTTTTTTTTTATAGTTAAAATAATATTATGGTTTAAAATTGTAATTCAGTATTTAGCAACAAATTTTATGTAATTTGAATATGTAATGAATTAACCTAGTTACGTATTGCTAGTCACTTCTTAAGTAAGTAATATTTCATTTTTATACTTCTTTTCAGAAAAGTCCAATGGGTATTTCAGCCAATTTAGAAATTATCTAAAATAAAAATAGTTATTTTTTGTAAACACTTCTGCGGTAATCCAACGGAGACTAATTGTCAACAGTGGTTTACTAATAAACAAATTTGCCTAACGGACAAATAAATGCTTAACGTTTCGGAAAAAAAATATGTCTCTTCCCATCGTCGGAAGCAAAAAAAACACAAAGAACCATAGATTTAGTAAGAACAGATATCACATTGTGCATTTTAACCCGATCAAACAATCGGAGGTTGACTACGTACTGTAAAAACCAACTGAAATGGAGAAGGCGACATTGCCACACATCTCAAATTTGCGCCTACCTACTCAGTTTGATTTGCAGAAAAGGTGACTCTAAAACCTTCACCGGATATCAATAAATCTCAGAATTTTTAATTAAAATTTAGTTGTTTGTTTTAAAGAAGCATGCGTAATAATATGGTTATTAACCAGAGGAGCTATGCGTTACTATTAAAGAACTTGGTCCGTTATAGCGTACTACGTTTAGCTTACGGTGTGTTTGAAGTCGGAATCAAGTCCGAAGTGAACTTTTCAGTGGTTTTCAGTAGTTTTTGTTTTTGTTTAACGTACTTTTGAATCTGCGAATTTTCAATATGGTAGGACAGTGTCAAATGTGTGGCAAAAAATAGAGCTCAAATTACCCGAACTTGTCTTTTTACAGGTAGGTATTGTTTCCGCCGTAATCTTACATAGGCGTCCCACAAAGGAGCCTCTCACAATTAAAATAATTTCTAATTATATTTGTTGAATTTTGATCTATTAAAAACAAGAACGTAGTAGCCGGTAATTGAACTATAATTCGTCTCAATTACTACCTAACTCTTGTAGATCATAACAAATTTGAATATAAACGTTGCATTTGAAACTTTATTATATGCCAGAAAGTGACATTTTTTAAATTGCGTCATATTTTGGTCATTATATACGATATTCTAGGAATTTTGCTCAACAAATAAACAAAGGTGTTTACCCGGCCTTTTTACATTTTATTGCTTTTATTAGGTCTATATTCCAGTCTCCTCAGTACTTGTTTAGAAGTTTTACTATTCGTACAAATACAACACCCTTTCTTTCTAGAGTTATTTGAAGGCTAATTCTTTTTTTAGAATGACTGAACTGTAAATAATTTTAGGCCATTTATTTTTATGCATATCTATATACAGAGTGACCCAGGCCTCCAAAAAAGCTTTTACCTATTACGTTTTCGGCTCTTGTGATTTTATTTCAATCTTTACATAAGATTGTAACGCAATGACAAACATTTTGTCAACATACAGGGTGATTCAAACCGCAATACATATGTTTAAATATTCATGAAGATTGGACGTTTAACTAAAATTTGATTGTCTGATTAAGCTACCTAAGTAATGGATTTGTAAATAAACGTAATATTATTATGCGACAGAAATCCCGTACTGTAGCACACAGATTTGATACTTTTAATGATAAAAACCTTCTATTGCGAGACTAAAAAGCAATTGCCTCGTATCAGAGCCATCATAATAAAAGAAGAAGACCGAAAGTCAAACTAGTCTTAGTTGTTTTCAAAAACACAATTTTCAATAAAATAAATATTGATTTTAGGTATAGAAGTTATTAATAATACAAGATTAAACAAGTATTACACAGTACTTCACGGGAAGCTATCGATTGCGAACCAATCACCCGTTACTTTAATACTAATTAAAGCTCTTTTCAGATCAAAAAGTAAAAACTGGAAACCTTAAAACTATAATTGAGATTAAACGGGAAGCTCTAAATAATGTTGCCTATTCTAAACAAGAAAAATTTATTTATAAGTTTTATAACAATTTAATTAAATTTTTTTAGTTAATATTCGGTGTCTAAACATTCATTTCAGATTAAATGGGAAGTTCTAAGTTATCTTTTTCTCTCAGGGAAAATACGTAAATAAAAATTACTTTTAAAGTCAAAAAAGTCAAAAAGGACAAGAGTTCAAAAGGACTGTCCTTCAGTGACAGGTGGCAACTTAGGTGTATTTCTGAATGGACTTATGGCACCCATAAATTTAGTTTTGAAAATATGTTCCGGCTACCTATGATTACAAAATTAAAATGTGCTTTACCATTGGCTCCATATTCTAAAAAAATTGAAAGAAAAGTCACCAAGCCTGAGTCACCCTGTAAATATTCAAAAGTAACTGAAAGTTATATAGAAGTAACTGAAAGTTTAAATTGAATATCGACGTTGAGCGATTTTCGAAAACTACCTACTAACGTTTCAACATAAGTATATGTGGATATAATTATATTATTATATTAGGACCTGTAACAAAACTCATCTTAACGAAAAAAGTGTTAATGTAGTATATTAATATGGAGTAAAAATTTTACTAATTACTTTACTTTTACTTTACTAATTAAATTCGTTCCAAAAAACGATATGCCACTGGCCATTAGAACAATCCAAATGCGCTTAGTTGCCGGGGTCGGAAATTTTAGCCTTCTCTGTCTCTTCTGTTTTTGTTTGACACATTGGAATGTTTGATACACTACCAACGAGTATTTATGAATGAGATGTTCGGTCTATCTTTATAATGTCTTTGCAAAGAACAATGAAAAAAACTATTTAAAATATCTAAATGTAACTATTCGAGAACATTTTTTTTAAACAGATACGTCTATAAAAACCGTTGACGTTCTGTTAAAATGACATTTTTTTTAATCATTTTAAACTTCAAAATTAACAATTACTACCTGATAACAATTACTTAATAAGGTAAAACCAAAATGCTGCACACTTTCTGATTATTTTTTATTTTTTGTAAACACTGCTGCGGTAATCCAACGGAGACTAATTGTCAGCAGTGGTTTACTAATAAACAAATTTGCCTAACGGACAAATAAATGCTTAACGTTTCGGGAAGTATGTCTCTTAACCATCGTCGGAAGCAAGAAAAAACACAAACAACAAAGAAAAACTATTTAAAATATCTAAATGTAACTATTCGAGAACACTTTTTTTAAAACAGATACGTCTATAAAAACCGTTGACGTTCTCTAAAATGACATTTAATCATTTTAAACTTCAAAATTAACAATTACTATCTGATTACAATTTCTTAATAAGGTAAAACCAAAAATTTGCAAACTTTTTGTATCATTAATTTTTAACTTGTTTTTAATTTTTACGTATGTTATTTTTATTTACGTTATGTTCTTTAAAATCAAAGAACATTACTAACATCTACAGAGGTTGGAGCAATACATTTATTTTTCTTTTAGAGGCTATCGCTTCTTTCATTATAATTTTTGCTTTGTTAAATATATTCCCTATCTGTTAAAATAACAGAACGTCAACGGTTTTTGTAGACATATCTGTTTTAAAGAAACTAAAGTGTTCTCAAATAGTTGAATTTAAATATTCTAAATAGTTTTTTTTTCTTTATTCTTCGTATTTTTTTTGCTTCCGACGACGGAAAGAGATAAACTTTCCGAAACGTTAAGCATTTTTTATGTTCGTTAGGCAAATTTGTATATCTTTAAACCTAACTTCTAACAAGTAGTTTCCTTTTGGGATTAACGCAGAAGTGTTTACATAAAATAACTATTTTATTTTGTAGATTTTCTTGCAGTGGCGAAATACCCATATAGGATTTTCTGGAGAGATGAATCCGCCACATAGGTATAGACATTTTTTATATTCTGTGTCCTGTGTCCCATGAATGCTGACAAATCTAAATTGTGAAAATCGCCCTTTCTTAAATAATCTTTATATTCTTTAATTCGCACATTGAAGGTACGTAACAAAAAAATGCAATGCCCAATACTTCTGGCTATTTTCTCTAAGTACACAAATTTATATGATTCTATCCATTCATTTAAGTACCATGATTTATTTCTGTTATTTTATTTTAATTTTGTTTGTTATAAAAATACTACTTAGAAAAATTCTAATATAATGTAATAAACAAATTTTAGTTCAAAATATTATTAGAATTTGTTTATTGTTAATCTAGTGAAGTCTTATTAGTTATTATTGTTTTTTAATGAGTATTTACCAAATGTCTGACATACCGTTTCTGTAAAACTCTACTCCAAAAGCTCTCATGTTCGACGGATTTATCAATATTCTTGTGACCTGAGAATTTAAAGCTATATGAATATTTTTCCGCAGCTTCACAGGCCTTAAAAATGCTTTTGCTGTCGAGCATCTCTGTCCTCTTCTGATCGTTCCTTGAGCTATCATAAATCCTGCTTGATCTGCGCCATTTATGTCCCTAAAATTGTTTAATTTTTTACTTCATTGCAACTTAATCAACAAATAAGTCCACTTTAAGCCAAAAATAATTGTTATAAAAAATATCATAAGATATAATCTTTTATTGAACTTTAAAGTAATATATTGGGTCTACAAGTAATTATTGGATGCGAAACATGGAAAGTTAAGCGTAGTCTCATGGGAGGCCTGTAGGTGTATGTTAACGAGTGTCTTTGAAGAATATTGAGAAGAATTTTTGGACCAATCAAATTAACAACGAAGAACTGTGGAGAAGTGCATCATAAAATCAATAGACATCAAAATTAAGAAAAGAAAGTGGGGCTGGAGTGGCCATATTTTGTGCAGACCTCTCAGAGGTATCGCAAAACAGACACTTGAATGAAACACACAGGGAAGACGTGCCAGAGGAAGACCACGGAGAAGAACAATAGCCTCTGAAGCCCAAGAGGTTTGAAAAACATGGGTAGATATCAAAGAGACAGCCCAGAATGGGATCAGATGTAAGTATCTCTTAGACGCGCCTCCTTAGAAGCCGAATTTTGAAAATTCGTGGCCAAGACACAAAATATAAAAGTCTGTCTGCGTCTTGTAATAAACGATTCAGAATTGAATAATATTTACCTTATAGGATATCCCATTTCCAGACCAGTTTCTACAAATGCTACAACTAAGGGAGTTCTCCATGGCGATTCTTGAACTGTTAATAACCCTCCCATTCCGTGGTATGGTGTTCTGGCTAGATAAGGGTTTCTGTTATCTTCAGACTTTATAAAGTATTTCAATACTTCGTCGTAATTCCAACCAGGATTGCCTTAAATGTGTATTATACATATTACAGTGAAAGTCGGAAATTTAATAATGTTAAGAATCACTAGGAAATGCTAACGAGTATGCATTGGCTCAATAAATGTAATATTTTAAAGAAAGGGTGTCGGCGGATTAATATAGGAAATATGCCCCCGTGGCTTTTTTTGGCTCGCACTCAGGGGATCGATTTGGTTTCGAATCAAAATAATTCACCAAAATTTTTAGCTCTTTAACTCAAACGGTTCTCGAGATTTAAAAAAAAACTGTTTTTTCAATTTTATTTTTAATTTTATAGTAAAATTCAAAATTAATTAATGATGATTTTTTTCTAATTCTTACAAGTCTGAGACATGAAAAAAATAATATGATCATGATTCTTAAACGAAAAGCCGATTTTTAGCGGTGGAAAGTAGTGATGTAAAAATTCTAAGTAATCGTTACAAAGTAACAGTTACTTTACGAGGACTCGAAGTAACGCTTACTATTTGAATTTAGGTCTCGTTACTCGTTACTAAGCTAATTCGTTACTTTTGCGCCAGCAGTAATCGTAATCCCTGGAAATGCACGAACGGAGGACTCGAAACTCGATACTGAAATATTCCTTACTTCGACGTAGGTCTAGTTGTTATCAATATGTTTATGTTTAAAGTGTTGACTTGACGCCGGCCGGTGTTATGGATGGCAAATGTGTTATATTTTTATTACAATTATTATGATTGGCTCATGCCGACCCGGAGGCGGTCTGTCCCTTTGCCGTTTGTTGTCGCTTTTTATTTATAGAATGGAATTGTTTATTTAGATTAACATGTCTTAGATATTAATTAAAAATGGATTCACGTTAGTCGCAAAAAATGTTAACATCTGAAAAAGCAGAGCAAATATTTTTCTTCTTCAAAAGAGAATAGATATGTATTTCGCCACTTACATTGTAAGAAAATCTACAAAATAAAAATAGTAATTTTTAGTAAACACTGCTGCGTTAATCCAAAGGACTTTTTTGAAGAGATGAATCCGCCACAGAGGAATATACATTTTTTTTTAATATTTTTATATTTTAACAAAAATATATGCATTTTTTTTTATTTTTACTCTTCAATGTTTGCCTATTTATTAATGTAATACAAAGACAGAGAAAGAGAGAGAGAGAAAATATAAAAAAATACTTTATATTTATTAAACACATATTTTCTTTGTTTGATTTGTTTTCTTTTATTTTTAATTTTATTTATAGTACGTAGTTTTATTTAACATATCATTATAAAAATATTATACATATTATTAAAAACATATTATTCAATACTTGAATACCGAGTATTGAAATTATCCTATTAAGCCCTTACACTAGAAGAAAGTAGAAACCCCTTATAGGTTAAACCGAGCATGCAACGAAGATCGCCGCGCACAACGAAGTTCCACGTCAAGCCCAAGTCTGCCAATCTGTACACAAAACAACGATTATGAAGTAACGATACTAAGTACCAAAGTAACGAGTAACTAAAGTAACTAAAGTAACGAGTCCTATTACCAAAAGTAACTAGTAGTTACGAGTCCATAAAAGTAACTAAAGTTTACATCACTAGTGGAAAGAAAATTAAAATCTTCATTTTTTAACCTTTGTGAAATATGTCACTCACTCAAAATCGTCAGAAACAGAAAATGTCTTTTATACTTCTTTACACTCAGGAATTTTTTAGAATTTTTTGAAGTGGTGGAACAATATGAAAAAAATTAAAAACTCATTTTTTCTATTTTTTTTTCTAAAATCTTCTCGGACTCATTTTTTTATAATAATCTTTATGTTTATTTCTGGCAAGGATGTATTTTTAACGAAAAAATATTTTCTAACGCACTTTTTTAAACTAAACCAAAATATGAGGTAGTTAAAACAGAAGATTTTAGAAAAAAAATGAGTTTTTATTTTTTTTTCATATTGTTGCACCATAAACCACTTCAAAAAATTCTAAAAAAAAATTCCTGAGTGTAAAGAAGTATAAAGGACATTTTCTGACTATTTTTAATGAGTGACATATTTCACCAAGGTTAAAAAAATGAAGATTTTAATTCTCCTTCCTCCGCTAAAAATCGGCTTTTCCTTTAAGAATCATGATCATATTATTTTTTCATGTCTTAGAATCCCTTCGTTCTAAGAATTAGAAAAAAATAATAATCATTAATTAATTTTGAATTTTACTATAAAAATAATTTTTTTTTAAAAATTTCGAAAACCGTTAAAGAGCTAAAAATTTAGGTGAATTATTTTGATTCGACACCAAATCGATCCCTTGAGTGCGAGTAAAAAAAGCCGCGGGGCAGATTTCCTATATTAATCTGGCTATACCCTTTGTCGATTTTTACCAGTATTTTTTGGCAGTTACTAGTGACAGTAACATTTACTAAAAGTCGGTAACAGCCATTGTATTTATAAAATAGGGAACGCTTTGGTGGAAGGTGCTGTATTGATCTGCTCTTATCGTAATTTCCTGATAGTAAGTTACCGATCAGCAGCTACTAGATAATAGTCAAAAGGCAATGTGAGTTTGAATGCTAGCATTCACTAGTAAGCTCTAGTAAATGATAGCATTTACTAATAAAGGTTTGTATCAAAATTAGTTATTGAACTTTTACTGGCGTAGTGTTCAACGCAAATCAGTGAATGTGAGCTTTACTAGTATTTGTAAACATTCACTGATTTCTGGCTTTTACTGTAACATCTATTAAACAATAATACGAATAAATAAGTCATATTTAATTATTCTATATTACTTTTTAATTTATAGCATAGGTTAATTTTTCTTTTGATTTACACTCAATGTGTATCGCTCGTATATTAAAGGCGGACGGCCACTGCGAGCGAAACTAAACTAAGCGAAGATAAGATCATCAGCGGCCACTTGAGCGAAACTAAACGAAAATATATGAACGAAGATCCAAATCGTAGTTTAGTTTCGCTCGTTTTAGTTCGTGACAGGTTCCAGCGAATTTTTCGCAGCGATTAGTTCTATGATAGCAGAGATACAATACGAAAACACAGCTAACTTAGCTGACTACTGAGCGAAAATCGTTCCCAGTGGCCGATGAAACTTATTTTCGTTTAGTTACCGTTTGTTTTTATATTCTTAGCTTAGTTTAGTGACGCTCGCAGTGGCCGCCTGCCTTTATAGAAAGAAACGGTAACTAAACGAAAATAACTAAAGCCTTAAAGGCGGGCGGCCACTGCGAGCGAAACTAAACTAAGCCAAGCGAAGATAAGATTTTTAAAAATCAGCTTCAAGGCAGGCGGCCACTGCGAGCGTAACTAAACTAAGCTAAGAATATAAAAACAAACGGTAACTAAACGAAAATAAGTTTCATCGGCCACTGGGAACGATTTTCGCTCAGTAGTCAGCTAAGTTAGCTGTGTTTTCGTATTGTATCTCTGCTATCATAGAACTAATCGCTGCGAAAAATTCGCTGGAACCTGTCACGAACTAAAACGAGCGAAACTAAACTACGATTTAAATCTTCGTTCGTATATTTTCGTTTAGTTTCGGTCAAGTGGCCGCTGATGCATTTAAAAGTATGGGAGCTGATTACAAATCTTATCTTCGCTTGGCTTAGTTTAGTTTCGCCCGCAGTAACCGCCCGCTTTTAGTAGGCAGTCTTAAAATTTTTACCACATGCAAGCCGTTTATACATGTAAAAAGTCTCTTAGTTGAGTCGTTTTTGTTCATACCTAATTGCTCCCAATAATCATAATCATTTTTATTTCCTCTGACATACAACATATAATTTAAAACGCTGGATCCACCGAGTACTTTGCCTCTAGGCCAGTTGCAACGTCCATTTTTCATACCTAAAACAATTAAAATTACAGATCAAAATATCCAGAGACAACTTTTAATCACCACTAAATTGCTTACTAGGTTTAAATTATGTCGCTACTTAGGTTTAAATTGCTACTTAGGTTTAAATTATGTCGCATTTATAGTAACTTTTATTCTCAAAATTTCATTCGAAACGCTAAAAGTACTTGGAAGAGAATTATAATAAATCGAAAAAATATTAACACGCGTAGCTACGAAACAAAGCAGAATCGGACCTATATTGATATTGCAAATAAATCTTATTTTTATGTGAGGAATCTCCCCACGTGAGATAGCACATGTCTTTTGAAACACCCTGTATAATTTCATCTAAAGTGTAAATCTGACAGCCCCATTATAGTATAAACGTGCCCTATTTACAAATATTAAAAAACAAAAACTTAACTTGCTCAACAAGTCAGATAAGGCAGTTTTCGATAACAGGGCAGTATAGTATATTTAGTAGAAGAATGAGTCTTCGAGAAGTAATTTCAATATTACCTAAACAAGCACGTCCTGTACTTTCCACTTTATACCCCCAATCTAATTTTGACAGTTGTAAATAGGCAGCCAGAGATGGTACATCTGATATTTCGTTTTCGTCTGGACCGGCTTCAAGAAGTAGAACTTTCCAGTTTGGAACTTCTGACAATCTTGATGCTACCTGAAATGATTTATTGTAAAAGGGAAGACTGTCTAGAAAACTGACGGCAGTTCTCAAGACGGTCGTCCGTCTAAAAGAGACCCATTCGAATCGCTAAAAACATTTGACAGAAAATGGTATTAAATCGATAATAAATTAAGATTTTAACCCCCTCTAGCTACGAAACAAAGCCCTATTTTGATATGAAAAATAAATTTTTATTATAAGTGAGGAATCTTCTCACTAGAGATGGCACATGCTTTTTGAGACACTTTGTATAAACTATTTTTAAAATATAAATTAGCTTATCCAATTCAATAAGTCTTGAAAAATATTTAATTTTTATTTTATATCATCTGGGAAAACAATAACTTTAATAATAATTTTGTTCCTTTTCAGGTGAGTGCTTTGTACTGAAAATTTAGAACGAAAATGACATTAAAACCAGAAATAATAAGGTAAGTAAATGTTGTCAAGATGTAGAACATGTTTTAAGGGTCTGCAGCTAGTAGCTAGAGAAGAAAATCTTCAACCTAACCCATTATTAAGAAAAATGAGAATCAAATTATTTAGATTATTTTTAGAGTAATTTCTCAAAATATCATTAATAAAAAAGTTTTTCCTCTTGCAAAGACAATCCGGGGACTATACTCTGTTTTTTTTCCTCAGGTAAGATTTCGACAGGCGATGACAGAAAAAAAGCAGATGACGTCCCATACCAATCTATTTATTTTACTAAAAAAAGTTTCTAATATTTTTAAGTTAACTATGGATGGATTTAAATATAAATCCGTCTTGCGTCGTCTCTTGTTGTTTTTAACCAGTTTTATTGGTTTATTTCAAAAATGACAGATCATATTTCAATTTTATTGGTTTGACGAAACGATGAACGTCAAACGGACGCCGACGTATCTTGCCAAATTATAGGTTATAATTTTGTGTCAACTTATGTCAAATATCTGCGTTTTGGAAGATGGTGCATTTTGATTCGTGTTATTACGTGTGTTTTGTGTCTTTTGAAGTCAAGTGAAGGAAAAATTGAGTGAAAATTAACTGTAGACCCAGAGCACAGTTTATAGTTAATACTCGCTGCCCAGGCAGAAAGTCTTATACACCAATAAAGTTACCATCAATAAAGTTTGTATACCATCTCGTCGGAGATAAGTGAATCTCGTATATGCTACAAGGATCGTTCTAAACATATACTACTGGAGTAGCTGTAAAATATCGACATCACACGATAGGTAAATAATGGATTTCAGTACTACTGGCTTAAAAAAAATTAAGATTAAAGTTAATTAATCAACCTTTAAGGTATAAAATTTGGTAAGTGTTGTTATTAATAAAATAGTTTGTTTTATTTATGTTGTTTTATTTATTCCTGTGGAATATTACAAATTTGTGTTTGTACATAAGTGGTGTTTTGTTATTGTTTGTTTTGTATTAACACATACCGTTTTTTTAAATAAAATAACTCGATTACATAGTTTCAGTTTTATACAGTTTTTTTTTCACAATATTTTGAAGTAATCACTTATCAGTCAAATTTTAAATATATTAATTTCCTGCTATGTGTACCAGTTGTACCCACTTATTTCTTTGTAAAATAAAATAAACTACTTTGAAATTAAAATGACAGACACATCTATCACTGTCAAGGATCTTGTCGTTGGACAGACTATATATTATGAATAGACTGTTATTGTAGTACTTACAACAGCTCCAGCTGATCCCCCTCCTACGACCACAAAGTCGTACTCTTTATGCAATGTTTTCTGGTTGATTATGGGCGACTCGGGATCCAGTTGATTGTAGTTGATAAACGTGAGACTGGCTAGCATCAGGGAATAATCCATATAGTTGATCCAAAGCAAACCAACGCTTTTTAAGGCTGTTGTTGCCAACAAATTGACAATGGCCATGATTATGTTAATATATTTTTTCTAAACTACTTATGGAAATTGTGCGGATAAAAATGTTTCTTGTCCTTATTGAATGCACTATTATCACAGATACTGTATCTAAAAGAATATCTTTTAATATACAAGGTGGCCCGAATTGTATTTCAGAAACTTCGGCAGCATATTCTGCAGATAAAAATAAGTAAAAAAGTTCGTATAAATGTATGTCCTAAAATGCTTAGTTTCGGAGGTACAGGGTGTAGAAATTTAATTTTTATTTCGATTTTTTCCAAATAACTTCTGAAGTAAGTCAATATTTGGATGAAAATTTAAGTCTGGGACTTTTTTGACATGAGAAATTTGATTTTCATGTCAATATGATTCCTATTTGTAGGTTTTGTATGTGTTTTAATCGTTTTGAAGATTAATAACTTTTCGCCCGTACCTCTATAAAACTACTGGGTGAAAAATATACATTTCCGTGATTTTTTACGTAAAAAATGTCTCTTGGTAAAAGTCGCTACATGCAATGATTTTCAAGATATTGTCAAGGTCAAGGTGTATTACTGGTTGCATACTGCATTACTGCTACATAACCGCAACGTGCATTGAGGAACCTGGCGAATTCGCCAGAAAGTAAAAGAAAATTACAGAATTCTTTAGAACGTTCCAGAAACATTCGCCAGGGGGTATATAAAGGGCCGCGCTTTGACAGTTGAAGTCTGAAGTTTGATAATACCGCGTTTTAAATTGTGAATTAATTGGCGAAGGTGCCAGTACCGTTAGAGTAATAGTAGTTGCATAAATTGTGTTGTAAATAGTATAAGTTGTCTGTACAGAGTGAGACAAATTAAATCGTTAAGTATTTTATCGTGAGTTTAAATTAGTGGACCCACGGAATCTGTAACAATATTTAGAATAGAAATAGTCAATACATGTCATTATATGACAAAAAAAATAAACATGTTGAGTAGGTAGTTATTTGACTGAAATGATAATTTTTAAACAAATCAAAATTTTTCTTCCAAAAAATGATAAAACGCTTTCTGTTGAACTTCTGGCACAACCACATTTCAAATTTATGATTTCAGTCCAATAACTATTTTTAGTCAACATATTTAATCTATGTCAGTGATGACATCAGGTATTGATAATTTAGATTCCAAATATCTCGAGAAGCATTAGTCGTAGCGATTTACCAAGAGACCTTTTTACCTAAAAAACGTCGTAAATGTATATTTTTTACTCAGTAGTTTTATTGAATGAACAGTGCTTTCCATAAAATCAATAAAATGAAAAATATACGAAATAATATACATGTACTGATTTCTTTCGAAAATCGACAACTATGAAACTATGAACCCTGCCCGGACACAAACAGTACATCGTGAGACAGGAAATTGTAGAGAGAAACAAGTCCTATAACATAGGATACAACATTTTAATGAACAGTGCTTTCCATAAAATCAATAAAATGAAAAATATACGAAATAATATACATGTACTGATTTCTTTTCGAAAATCGACAACTATGAAACTTAAACCCTTCCCGGACACAAACGGTACATTGTGAGACAGGAAATTGTAGAGAGAAACAAGCCCTATAACATAGCATACAACATTTTAATGAACAGTGCTTTTCATAAAATCAATAAAATGAAAAATATACGAAATAATATACATGTACTGATTTCTTTCGAAAATCGACAACTATGAAACTTAAACCCTTCCCGGACACAAACGGTACATTGTGAGACAGGAAATTGTAGAGAGAAACAAGCCCTATAACATAGCATACAACATTTTAATGAACAGTGCTTTTCATAAAATGAATAAAATGAAAAATATACGAAATAATATACATGTACTGATTTCTTTCGAAAATCGACAACTATGAAACTTAAACCCTTCCCGGACACAAATGGTACATTGTGAGACAGGAAATTGTAGAGAGAAACAAGCCCTATAACATAGCATACAACATTTTAATGAACAGTGCTTTTCATAAAATCAATAAAATGAAAAATATACGAAATAATATACATGTACTGATTTCTTTCGAAAATCGACAACTATGAAACTTAAACCCTTCCCGCACACAAACGGTACATTGTGAGACAGGAAATTGTAGAGAGAAACAAGCCCTATAACATAGGATACAACATTTTAATGAACAGTGCTTTCCATAAAATCAGTAACAGGTACAGACGAAAAGTTATTACTCTTCAAACCAGTTAAAAATATGTAGGTGGCGCCCCCTACAAGTAGGAGTCACATTCACATCAAAATCTAATTTCTCATATCAAAAATCTCCCTGACACCAATTTTCATCCAAATATTGACGTTACTTCAGAAATTATTTGGAAAAAATCGAAATAAAAATGAAACTTCTACATCCTGTATAGGTATCTCCGAAACTAAGCCCCATTTTAGGACATACATTTACGAACTTTCTACTTATTTTTAGCTGCAAAATATGCTGCTGAAGTTTCCGGAATACAGTTCGGACCACCCTATATAGAGATGCCAGACGAAAAGTTTTTTCTTGAATGTTGTAGACAATGATTTAGTATTGATAGTAATATTTACCTAAAATGTACTAGTTAATTAAATGACTAGAAGAGACTGGTACTAAATAATATAAAAAAAAATGTTTGTTTTGGTTAATCCGGTGGACGTATTTTCATTTTTAACCAACGATAGACCAGTTTATTCTCCTTATGCAACCGGATGTACGAATGGAGCATCTTTCTAGTCTTTGTCAAGTACAGAAGTCATCTTTTACGGTTTTCTGAAAAGAAAAGAAAAACAATTATTATCTAGTAACCAGGATATAATACTTATAGTAATTGATGGTATATAGTTATATTTAGTCCTGTTGGGAAAGTTTACCGTATATTCTTCGTACCGCATGTATGATCGATTAATGTCGAAAAAAATACCGGATGTTCCATAAGTAAAAATATAATTTTGGTATGGCCTAACCCTTTATAGGGTAGTACTATTTTTTTTTCTAGTATATTTTATTTTGTTTTTTACATATTTTAAGATTTTTTAAAAATATATACAGGGTTTTTCGGAAAATCTGGTCATTGATTAATCACGATCCTGCTTAAAGCGCTTGACGTAAAAAACTGATTTTTGGAAAGCGGATTGACTTTAAGGTGTAGAGGTTCGATAAGAAGGGATTTTTCGAAACTCGAATTCTAAGGTGGTGAAACCACCTCTCAAATATTAGAATATTTTTTATTTAGAAACCGGTGAGTTTTTCGGAAAAATCCTTAAACACGTATATTTTATTTTGTTGTTTTACATATTTTAAGATTTTTTAAAAATGTATACAGGGTGTTTCATAAAATATGACCATTAAGTAATCACGATTCTGCTTAAACTGCTTGACGTTTAAAGCTGATTTTTGGCAAACGGATTGACTGTGGGGTGTAGAGGTTCGATAAGGAGGGGTTTCTCGAATCTCAAATTCCAAGAGGGTGAAAACGCCCTCAAATATTACAATATTTGTTCTTTAAAAACGGTTAGTCTTTTTGGGAAAACGCTTGGACACGCATAATTTATTTTTTACATATTTTGAAATTTTTTAAAAATCATACAGGGTGTTCCAAAATGTTGGGTAATTGATTAACCACGATTCTGCTTAAACTGCTTGACGTAGAAAGCTTATTTTTGGCAAACGGGTTTTTCGAAAGTCAAATTCCAACGAGATGAAAGTACCCCTCAAATATTACCAAGTTATATAATAATATCGCCATATTGTTTTTTCTCATGCTGACATAAATGTGGGATAATTTTATCCAGTTTGTATGTTAATGGAAATTCTCGCTTTGCTTTATCATCACCATTACAAATGATTAATTCGACTCGAACGAACTCGCGGGTACACGCTAGTTTATTTATAAAATTATAATGTGTAGTAAAAACTATTAAATTATTTCCTATTAAATAACTTGTAATCGGTTATCATATCAAGATAATATTTAATTGATTAGGAAAAAGTTTTTTCTTAGTCTGAGAACTCGGAACTAGAATTGCTGGTTCGTAATTTTTCTCTCGATCAGAATAATTCAGGAAGTTGCACTTAGACATTTATGCTTGTTTATCGACCGACTATTGATCTACAAACTAGTATGCCGGTGTTACATAATGAATTCTCGACAAATTTCTATTTCTACGCCACCTGTCACAAGGCGGCGCTTAAAAATATTTCCTTTTTTGTTCGTACAGAATAGTTCGCTCGAGCTACCAAAATCCGTGTGTTTTTAGAATTAGTTTTATGATTTTAAATAATTTTAAGGTGTTATCGTTGAAATTAAGTGTGGAAGTCACTTCGAAAATGTTGGCGTTGGGCGCTACATTAAATTATACCAGCAGAAAAAAACAATAAAGGTGTAAATAAAAATAAGATGTTTCCTTTCGGAAACGGTAAGTAGCTAAACGACCAGTGAAGCCTCTAAGGATAGAGCTACTGGAGCTCTATATTCGCCCCATTTGAACTGTGTTTCGAAAATGCACAGTTTCCCAGATATTTAGTTAGAAATATAATATAAAAATAATTTTCTGAATATATCGGGTCAAAAGTGGCTCACCCCTATAACTTTGATTTGGTATGTTAGTGTATATGGCATAAATTAGGATTAGTTAACGTATTCAATTGTTTTCTGTCACTTCCTGTTTCACCGGAAATTACTACAAGTTTTAATTTTTAAATGGCAACCTCAAATAGCCATGCAACTGTTTCAATCATTGTTGCTCGCTGCGTATGTCAAATTATTCACTCTGTACTACCTCTAATAATAATTGTTGATAGCTATCATCACGTAAGTGTGATTAGATTAGATTTAATTTGAGTTTTTCAACTAGGTATAAATAAATTACTTTCATTCCATAACGGCATCGATTACGTAAAGGTATTTTACAACCACTTTCGTTGAAATTTCATTTTACTGTTCGACCTTTCCTTTTCTCCAGCCTTGTTATTGAGAAAGGTTGCAGTAACTACATTATATCGAGAGGAGTAGTAGTCAAAACTATTCCTTTACTTTATCTTATAATAGAATGAGACTAATCTATACCGGGGTTTTTTCAAAAGTGGCTCACCTCTGTAACTTTTTTATTTTCAGACGAGATTTGGTATGTTAGTTTATGACATAAATCAGGATTGATTGACATTTTCAATTACTTTCAATGTCCGTTTTAAGTGTCCATGTTTCGCATGCGTAGGTCATGACTGGTAGTACATGTTGGTCGAATGTTTCCTTCTTTAGATAGAGTGGCATTCCAGATGTGAATATGATCGAGTTTCTTCCATTAATATTCCATTCTAACTTAATTCTTCTATTGATTTCTGGTAATAGAGATCTCGTTGTCAATTTGTCACCGTTATTATTCAACTTGTATTCAGAGAACGTTTTAAAGAGACTTTATCAGTAGAAGGCGTTAAAATTGGAGGCGAGATCATAAATAACGTAAGGTGCGCAGACGACGCCGCCATTGTCGCAGGAAGCATGGAAGACTTGCAAACGTTAATAGACAGGGTACATAAAGCTAGTTGCAAATGGAGTATTGATATAAACATCAACTAGACGAAATGGATGTTTTTGATAAAATACAAATTAATCCAATCCCGATATAAATCAGCGGACAGAATATTGAACCACATTTAAAAGTACCACATTTTAAATATTTAGGGCTAAACAGTGAAAATACATGTGACGAAGAGGTAAAAGCAAGAATTGAAATGGCATGTAGAACATTCAAAAAATGGAAAACCACGCTTACTAATAAAAACCTGTCACTGCAAACCCGATTACGAACACTGCGTTGTTACATATGGTCCACTCTTCTTTACGGATGAGAGACATGGACGCTAAATGTCGAGAATATAAATAAAATAGAAGCCTTTGAAATCTGGTGCTACCGGAGAATCCTTAAGATTTCTTGGACCGAACATACAAGCTACGAAGAAGTTCTTGGACAGCTAAATAAAGGTCGGGAACTCTTAACCACCATCTAGACCAGAAAGGTGAGCTACTTCGGACACATAATGCGTGGCACCAAATATTATATTCCTCGTTTGATCATTCAAGGAAAAATCGAAGGTAGAAAATGAGTAGGTCCAAAGAAACTGTCATGTCTGAGAAATATACGGAACTGGACCGGTCTGGAGGTGGAGAGGCTGTATCATGCGGCAGAAGATAGAGAACTCTTCAACAAAATAGTCATGGAGATCAACGCCTGAAGACAGGCACGGTACCGCAAGAAGAAGAAGGTGACATCTATTACTTGGGTCTTTTGTCGTATCAACTCTATTCTTTTACGGTCTGTCTTGGTTATTCCTAGAATACAGGGTGGCCCATCGAAAACGTTCCGCAAGGCATAACGGCTAGGGTATTTTTTTTTCAAAAAATCCAAAAACACATTAATTTTGTTTGTGAACTTTTGCCCCAAAAATGATTGCAAAATCTTCAACCCTCTAAGCGGGGGTGTCATCCCCCATTTTTTTTCGAATGGGAAGGGGGGTCAAGTGGTACCGCAATGAAAAGGGATTTCTATTCTCTATACTTTCCCGCTTTGTTTTTAAAATCGGTCGAGTCATTGAGAAAATATGAAGGATTGAAATTTGAAAAGTTTATTTAAACATTTATCAGAGTAAATGATATGGATAAATTCCTTTGATCAATTTGCTGTTTTTTCTTATTATTTCTAGATGTTTACGCATTTTTTCACTTGCCACAAGGTTGAACGATCAGGTGCGGTAGTTGCTAGATAGCTGTTCTGTGACTTTTGCGTTGAAGTTCTTCTCAACTGGCAGAAAAAGTGGAAACAATCAAACTTTATTTTAAAAATAAACTTTATTTTTCTTTATTTTAAAACGTCTTCGTTGCGTACTTGTACCTACTGAATTTTGTACTGGTGGAACTTGTGTTTTTTTAATATCCTCAGTATAAATATATATTTACTTTTTCCCAGTAGTTGATTTGGATGTGAAATTACGGAATCGATTTGGTGCCAAGTGGTTGGTACCGCGGAAAACCCGTTTGCGATTCTGGAACGATTTTGTCTATATATGGGTGCAGGCGGTTTGAAATAATTTTGCAAGAATTTTTCCGCCGATAGCCAACAGCGAAATTCCCCGGTAATTTTCCGCAGTCTGATGCACTTCCTTTGTTCTTAAATATATTCACTATATTCGCGTTGCGAAAGTCCTGAGGTACCTCTCCGCTTTCCCATATGACATCGAAGAGAGCCTTAAGATGACCTATAAGTTCTTTACTTGCACACTTATAGATTTCCGCCGGAATCGCGTCACAGCCAGCTGATTTGTTGTTTTTAAGCTGTTTTATGGAGGTCTATATTTCCTGTTCTGTTATTGGGTTATGGTTATTGTTATTCAGTCAAATAACTATCTACTCAACATGTTTATTTTTCTGTCAATAATGACAAGTATTGACTATATCTAAATATCTTGAGAACGGTTGCTCGTAGCCATTTTTACCAAGAGACATTTTTTACATAAAAAATCACGAAAATGTATATTTTTTTCACTATGTAGATTTATACAGGTATGGGTGAATAGTTATTACTTTTCAAAACAGTTAAAACATATATAGGTGGCGACCCTTTACAAATAGTCATACTGTCATCAAAATCAAATTTCTCATGTCAAAGGACCCCCCAGATACCAATTTTCATCCAAATATATTGACGTTACTTCAAAAATTATTTGGAAAAAATCGAAATAAAAATGAAACTTCTACACCCTGTATCTCCGGAACTAAGCATTTTCGGACATACGTTTATACGAACTTTTTTACTTATTTTTATCTGCAGAATATGCTGCCGAATTTTCCGGAATACAGTTTGGACCACCCTGTATAGAAAAGGTGGTCTCCAATTCCCTATTGGTTGAAAAATTATGGCGCGCAATTTAAATTTCACAAAACGGCGAGATAGTGAATTTCTGTACGCAAGTATCAACGGTTTAGGGTAGCTAAATCAGAGCAAAGGTCACTCTTGTGATCTAGTGCTCTAGTGTCCATGAACTGATTAGAATGAAAGTTCCCTCCCCTAAGATACAATGAAAGGTGTGCTTATTTCTGAACGTTTTGTTAGGGTACTTACCGAACCAAGATATTTGCTGTGTGTCAAAATGGCGTAATGCTGGTATGGCTATTGCTGAGAAACCTATACTCATACCAGGGGCAATGTTCGAGAAATTGGATAGAAATGCTAAAATAATCTGAAACCAAACAAAGTAAAATATTTACTAAATCTAAACCATTTAACAGAAAATATAATAAAGTATTTTTTATTTATCAAATTGAATTTTTTAAATGTACTTATTTGCTTTTTCTTACAGTATTACAGTATACGTACACCATGGTTACACCCGGTATATGTCTTTAATACAGTATAAGTACAGGGTGTCCTCTTTCAAACCCTGGATATTATTTTTTATTTTATTTGTCTTGTTTTTAACGAGTTTTCTAAAAATATAATATACCTACTAATTTTCATAAAGAAGGTATAAAATGGCATTATTTAATAGATTAATATATTTTTAGAAAGCTCATAACAAGGTAAACCAAAAAAATAATATACAAGATTCCTCATTAAAAAAACATAATCTTGAGTCATATTTCATAAAAATGATAGCTTCTAGCGAAGAACTAACCAGTTACGCCACTGAATTTACGTGAAAAACACGTGTAAAAAAAAACGAGAAACCAAAATAAACTGTAAAATAAATGAAAATGGGACACCCTGTACAATAATAACATTTATGAAATATACAAGCATACAAGTAAAAGGCATGCCAAGGATAAGAGGTCTGTTTTAAATGCTGTTAATGACTTGCAAGTTTCACAATCTCTAATAGTTTTTTACAGTATACCGGGTGTTTCTCAAAAGTGGCTTACCCCTACAACTTTTTTATTTTTTCAGATTGTGTAACATGCGGTTCATAACGACAATTTTACTCGAAATACCAAGTCTTTTGGAGCAAATTATTCGTAAAAAAATGCTTTTTCCAAATATGCTAATGAGCCACGCCCGTTCCGTTTGAAAAAATTGAGATATGATTCAAAATACGATTTGGGCATCTTTTAACCGGCCAGAAAAAAACACTAAAAACATTAGACGAACAGATCTATTTTTCCAAGACTGCTTGATTAAAAATTAGTGTTTTTAACACAGCCATGGCACTCTAGATTGAAATATAAAATACGATTTTTTTAAGCGAAAATGTCAAAATTTTACCTGTAATATGTCGTTCTATTCAGAAAGTGTCATTTTTTATCGAACAAAGTAAAAAAATACCGAGGGTGCCATTTAAAAATCAAAAGTTGCAGTCATTTCCGGTGAAACAGGAAGTGACCGAAAACAAGTGAATACGTCAATCAATCCTAATTTATGTCATATACCAACTTACCAAATTTCGTTTTTTTTTATCTGAAAAAATAGAAAATTTATAAGGGTGAGCCACTTTTGAGAAACACCCGGTATAGTAACTGATTTATTTTATACAATTATGTAATTTTATGCATTGCAATGTTGTATGGTTCTTTGGTTTAATAAAATTTTAACATAACTAGTATCTTTTGAGCGTTTTTACTATCGGGAAAAACTAACATAATAACATATACAGGGTTGTTCACCACATACGACACGGAGTATTGTAGCTAAACGATGAGGTTTTTACAAATTGTAAGTTTTGGGTTCGATGAAGGACTATTAGAGGTACAATTTAAAAATAATTTTACAAGATACAGAGTGTCCCAAATAAGTAAAAAATATCAAAGTTGTATTTTTTTAAATGGAACACCCTGTATATTATTACATTTTTAGTTTCTAAGATTAAAATAAAGGTAAATTTGATTAAGGTTTATTATACTTAAACCTTACCGTTTTTGAAATATTTTCAATTTTGTGAAATTGCAGTAAAAATTTTAAGGCTTCATTTCTCCAAGGGTATCAAAGTTTTTAATACTAAATATTTACTGAAGTTTATTTACTGATCAGTTATTATGTTGCAATAATAAAATAATACTACCTTATACAGAGTGTCTAAAAAATTTATTTTTAAATAATTATTAGCTTCAAACGGCAATAACTTGTTTAATTTAAATGGAACACCCTGTATATTTTACGATAATCAGATGCACAATTTAATTGTCTATCAAATTATATTATACCATTTTTTACCTATCTCTTTAAGTTTCCGTAGAAAATGCATTTTCTTGTAATTTAGAACTTATTTATCAATATACCCATGGACTATTGACATTTCAGATTATTTTTAAAGATGTACCAAATTTTTAAAGAGTACAGATACTAATATTGTCGATATAATTCGTTTATTTCATTAAAAAATAAAAAAAACTGTTTAAATATTTGTTAAAGAGGATCAATTAATATGATTCCAGCTGTGATTCCAGTATTCAAACTACATTAACTGACTGTTTGCGTTGATTAATAATAATTGCTCCAAATACTAAAAAACTGGATTTTGTATGGGCATTAGACAGTGTGATAAAAAGTAACACCTTAAAAATGATATTTCATTTTTTAATAAATGCTTATTTATAACAACAGAGACTTTAATTTGATAAGTTATTATTATATTGATTTCTGACTCAAATCCACATTTATTTATAATAATTTATTAACGAACACAATTAAGTATGTAATTAATTAGTATATGGGCGGAAATAATGTGTTATATTTAATTAATGGTATACCCTTTTATAAAGATTTAAATAGTTTTCTTTTTGCATACAAATGGGCTAGTAATATTATCGTTTTGCTAAAAACGATAATATTACTAGTCTGTACATTTTGTACATTTGTTGCTTTAAAAACAATCTAAAATGTCAATATTCCATAGATATATTGATAAATGAGGTCTAATTTAGAAGAAAATGCATTTTCTACGAAAACTTGAAGGGATAGGTAAAAAATGGTATAATACAATTTGATAGACAATTTAATTGTGCATCTGATTCTCCTAAAATATATAGGGCATTCCATTTAAATTAAAGAAGTTATTGCCGTTTGAAGCTAATAATTATTTAAAATAAATTTTTAGACACTGTGTATAAGGTACTATTATTTTTATTATTGCAACACAATAACTGATCAATAAATAAACTTCATTAAATATTTAGTATTAAAAACATTGATACCCTTGGAGAAATGAAGCTTTAAAATTTTGACTACAATTTCACAAAATTGAAAATATTTCAAAAACGGTAAAGTTTAAGTATAATAAACCTTAATCAAATTTACCTTTATTTTAATCGTAGAAACTAAAAATGTAATAATATACAGGGTGTTCCATTTAAAAAAATACAACTTTGATATTTTTTATTTATTTGGGACACTCTGTATCTTGTAAAAATATTTTTAAATTGTAGCTCTAATAGTCCTTCAACGAACCCCAAACTTACAATTTGTAAAAATCTCATCGTTTAGCTACAATACTCCGTGTCGTATGTGGTGAACGACCCTGTATAATTATAATACTGTTTTAATTTAAGTACTCTAGATAGCTTCAAAACAAATCAATCTTACTAGAAGGCCAATAATATTGCTGGGGATATTTTTAATTAACTTGTGTTTGTTATAAAAGATGTAATTTGTCATAATTTCTAATTCTGTGAATTTAGTAATGTGCAATATGTATTTATTCTCACTATTCAAGGTTGTTTTAAAGATTGTCTTTTTTTAATAAGATTGTAAACTAATTTTGTAAAATACCTGTACATTACGTATAAAACCTTGAGGAATCTAAAATAAATATACAGGGTGTCCCAGGCTGAGCGTGCATTAGAAGTTCCTAGAGAATACAATACCTAGATTGGAGATTTTTTGCACATCATTGTTTCACAACCAGATCTATCAATTAAAAATATTTTCAATATGGCGGCACTTCCGGAAGTACCGGAAGTTGACAGCAACTTTCTTATCTTAAACGGGTGCCCCCATTTCTTATTACATATTTAGTATGTAATAAAAAATGGGGATCCCCATTTAAAATAAGAAAGTTGGTGTCAAATTCCGGAAGTGCCGCCATATTGAAAATATTTTTAATAGATAGATCTCATTGTAAAACAATGATGCGCAGAAAATCTCCGATCTAGATCTTGTAGGTCTCTAGAAACTTCTAATACACGCTCAGTCTGGGGACACCCTGTATATCCCTGTTGTTTGCTAAACAATACATAATATATAAAAATAATTAAAAATATATCAGCAGGTTGATTTTTTAAAGAATTTTTTTTATTTTATTAAATTATTGAAAATTCAAACTTTTTAAGTCTTGTACAGAAGGTTTATAAAGATTGTTTTATTTCTTAAATAACATAAATAGTTTTGATTTTGTTTAGAAATATTTTTTTTAAGATAGCACAATAAAATTGTTTTTAATTGCATTACAATGTTGCAATTTTAAATACAGATTTCAACACTATCTTTTTAAGAAGCCTAAATAACATTTCAAATTTAATTATCAGCGGATATAAACAAAACTTATTGCTTCAAAGATACAAGAGAAAAAAATGTTTTTGCTATAATATGTTATCATTTGACTATTACATGCAATATTACTTAATAAATTTGGATTATTGGTTGATAAGTGATTAAGCATAATTAAATACCTACAAACAGGAAACAATAGAATTCCAATTAAAATATCTAAAGTTCTTACATCCTGTACATTATTCAGTATACAGGGCATTTAACTAAATAAAAGTATAAGTTAGAGTGGAGTGCTTTAAGCCCTTATGAGATAAATTAATTTTAAGAGAAAAGAAAATTAAAATCTTAATTTTCAACCTTTGTGAGAAATATGTCAGTTACTAAAAATCGTCAGAAAATGTCTTTTATACTTCTTTACACTCAAAATTTTTAGAATTTTTTTGATAGTGGAACAATATGAAAAAATTAAAAACTCTACTAAGATAGAATGTATAGTTTTTAGTAGAGACGATCGACTTATTGTAAGTTTATCGCTAAGAAACCGCCATTATTGGTGCGCTTAAGAACCGTACATATTAACTAACGGACTACAAGAAGAAGATTAAATGAAGCAAATCTTATGTCAAGAAGGCCTGTTTCGGGATCAGAACTTACTAGATGTGTTGACTAGGCCAGGGGCGTAGATAGGTGTATGCTATGGGGGTGGTACTATGATTGATCGCAAAAAAAATCACCGTCGTTTTTTGTCGATTAAAACGACGGCGATTTTTTGTCTTCAAATATATAAAAACATAACACAAAAATTAAAATATAGATTTGTAAATAACATAAACAAAAATGAAACAACGTTTAATAGTTAATTTTCTATAAACTATAAATAAACTCTAAACTATCAAGAAAAAACTATAAAAACTATAGCTTCACTTAAATACAAACTACAAAACAAAATCAAGTTTTTTCTAGTACGCTGTTTGGAAAACCTATCAATATACTTAGCATCAACATTTATTTCAATATCTTTATGGATATTATTGATTTAGGGGTAAGCTTACACTAAACTGTCCTGGCCAATAAGAACACTTTAGCTAAGCAATTAGGTCCGAACATATTATAAACGATAAATCCAACATAATTAAAAGCATACAAAATAACATGTCAGGTATTAATTCAAAAAATCATGATCATTGACTAATTTCAATTCTCGTATCTCGTCAAGCGTCAGGGGGGGTACTGTCCCCAGTACCCCCCCTAATACGCCCTTGGACTAGGCCCAAAAGCAAAAGCATGTGGTCTTAATGTAAAAATTACGAAAAATATGTTAGTGCCTTCTTTAAAACCGAATATTTCAACAAAAATAAAAGCTAATGAGATAACCCCAAACAAACCATCGAAGGATGTATCTAGATGATAAAATAATTTTTAAATTTCTTGCTGTTTTTTAACGTATTTCACAGGGCGTTTCAAACTTTCATCAAAAATATCAACATTTTGTTTTCCCTCGTATAATTAACAGATGGGGGAGTTTCATTTTAATTTTAGAAAAGATACTAAGAAGTCAAATAATTTGGCAACACACTGTAAAAATCATCAAAAATCGGCCCATTAAAATAAAATATATTAACCTTTAAAATTCATCAAAGTTTTAAGATGCCCATTTTTCGTGCCGATGAATGTATTTCAAAAACTATACATTTCAGTCATATAACTTTCTAATGAAACAAACCTTTATTTTTTTACTAGAATCAAAAATCAATTAATATATAGGGTGTTCCACCGAAAAACATAACTTTGATGCGTAACTTTTTTGGGACAGCACCCTGTAGAACTCTACATAATTTTAAGAAAATACTTTAAATTGACTTACTCAGAAAATTTCACTTCAATACAAACTTTGTTCTCCTTGCAAAAACCGCGTCGCGACGCGCCACCCTGCTATAATTCGATTTCAATCAACATTTCAATGATTAGAATATAAGCAGAATAGGTGCATAATATGCATTAGATTTATTTATTTCAATAAATTTACTTAGAAAAAGAATTAAAAAATCAAAATATTAAGAAGGAAATAATTAAGAATTTACTAAAATTACTAAAATAAAAAATTAAAAGCAACGAAAAAAAATGGGTAAACATTTTAGTATTTTATCTATAAAACACAATACAGAAGGTTTAACATTAATACATTCACAGTAATTGCATTCCGAGGTAAAAGTCTCTGGGCACTCCACTAAGATTTTAGAAAAAAATGAGTTTTTATTTTTTTTTTCATATTGTTCCACCACTTCAAAAAATTCTAAAAAATTCCTGAATGTAAAGAAGTATAAAAGACATTTTCTGACGATTTTTACTGAGTTACATATTTGACAAAGTTTAAAAAAATTAAGATTTTAATTTTCTTTTCTCCGCTAAAAATGGGCTTTTCGTTTAAGAATCATGATGATAAAATCATCATTAATTAATTTTGAATCTTACTATAAAAATAAAATTGAAAAAACAGTTTTTTTGAAAATCTCGAAAACCGTTTGAGTTCAAGAGCTAAAAATTTGGGTGAATTATTTTGATTCCACACCAAATCGATCACTTGAGTGCGAGTCAAAAAAGCCGCGGGGACAGATTTCCCACATTAATCCGGGTATACCCTTTATTTTTTTTAAGTTAGTAAGAGTCAAATAATAAAACTCTATTTTGTTTATGAACAAATTACATCTGAGCATACCTGTAATATTACACTTTTGCTCCCCTTTTTATCAGGTTGTTCCATTGCGAAATCTATAGTATGTCAAATCCTATCACAGTCACTGTATCACCAACAAACATCTGTTCAATAATAATCGATACAATAAATCACGCACATGGTCTCACAGCCTTATCTTATCTCAAATATCAATAACATATTTGAGTTTTGAATGATTCAAATGCTTTTCGGTATTTCAGCTGTTTCAGCTCTTATTACATTGCTTGTTGTGGTGCGGCTGGGTACTCTGTAATGGAACTGTATACTGACGTGACTACCAGATAATCAATTCATTCTCAAACGTATAAGTTGTGTAACAGTGTGGTAGGACCACTACAACACGCGTCGAGAGAATAGTTTATTTCTCGTACGCATAGCAGCTGCTTTCTCCCATTGTACTTTTCAGGGTTTGGTACCTCAAAGGGAAAAAATTGAACCCTTATAGGACCACTTTGTTGTCTGTCTGTCAAGATTCTTTATCTCGGGAACCCTTGCAGGTATCGAGTTGAAATTAAAGCCATACACTCACGTCTACAGTTCCTTGAAGCTGTGAAAAAATCAAATATCTAAGTTAACGTAAAAAAGAAATACTACCGTTAATGCCGCAAAAATAGTTATTTGTGTAACTAGTGCAAAAAGGACATATTTGTTGCAAGACGCTTGAATTTTGACAAGTATGGTTTTTGCACATGTTGCACACAATATTTTTCTACTATCGAATTGAAATTCTAATTTAATTGTTTATTAAAAGTTTTTTCAGTAACACACAGAATAATATTACCACTAACAATGACACTATACAGGGCGTTTCAAAAAATATGTGCCATCTCTCGTGGGGAGATTCCTCACGTAAAAATAAGATTTATTTTTCTTATTAACATAGGTCCGATTCTATAGCTTTGTTTCGAAGCTACGGGGTGTTAAATTCTTAATATTTTTTCGATTTAATATAATTCTCTTGCAAGCACTTTTAGCGTTTAAAAGTTACTATAAATACGACATTTTTAAAGCTAAAAAAGTGTTGACAAATTCCCCAGGGACGTGCGTATGGGTTATCACTGGAATATTTTCTAAAAAAGCATGTACGCCACTGACTTTCCTTTTCTTTTTAGCTAAATAGTGTAAGCAGTTTGAGCACATGTTTTTTGAAACACCCTGTATACTATAGGGTGATTATTGTCAAAGGAATAGGCATCCTTAACGGTATTTTGAAGAGATCTATATCTATCGAAATAATATACTATGTGTTCCGTTTAAAACAAAAAAGTAACTTGCTTTTAAAAGTGACCAATGTTCAGTATTAATTTTGTTTCACCCTGTATAACTTCTAGGGGGCCAAATTTTAATTCAATTTAACCTACAATGGGTATTTTAAATCGGGCTATACAGGGTAAATTTCAATAAAATTAAAAAAACTAGCGTGTACCAGCGACTTCGTTCGCGTCGAATTAATCACTTGTAATGGTGATGATAAAGCAAAGCAAGGATTTCCATTAACATACAAACTGGATAAAATTTTCTCACATTTATGTCAGCATGCGAAAAAACAATATGGCATTATTATTATATAACTTGGTAATCTTTGAGGGGTAGTTTCATCTCGTTGGAATTTGACTTTCGAAAAATCCGTTTGCCAAAAATAAGCTTTTTACGTCAAGCAGTTTAAGCAGAATCGTGGTTAAGAAATTACCCAACTTTTTGGAACACCCTGTACGATTTTTTAAAAAATTTCAAAATATGTAAAAAACCAAATAAATTATGCTTGTCCAAGCGTCTTCCTGAAAGACTAACCGTTTTTTAAATAACAAATATTGTAGTATTTGAGGGGCGTTTTTACCCTCTTGGAATTTGAGATTCGAGAAACCCCTCCTTATCGAACCTCTACACCCCACAGTCAATCCGTTTGCCAAAAATCAGCTTTAAACGTCAAGCAGTTTAAGCAGAATCGTGATTACTCAATGGTCATATTTTATGAAAGACCCTGTATAAATTTATAAAAAATCTTAAAATATGTAAAACAACAAAATAAAATATACGTGTTTAAGAGTTTTTCCGAAAAACTCACCGGTTTTTGAGGGATAGTTTCAGCCCCTTAGAATTCGAGTTTCGAAAAATCCCTTCTTATCGAACCTCTACACCCTAAAGTCAATCTGTTTTCCAAAAATCAGCTTTTTACGTCAAGCGCTTTAAGCAGGATCGTGATTAATCAATGACCAGATTTTTGGAACATCCTGTATACATTTTTAAAAAATCTTAAAATATGTAAAAAACAAAATAAAATATACGCGTTTAAGCGTTTTTTCGGAAAATTGGCTGTTTTTTAAATAAAAAATATTGTAATATTTGAGGGGTGGTTTCACCCTCTTGGAACTGGAATTTCGAAAAATCCCTTCTTATCGAACCTCTACACCCTAGAATCAACCTGTATGCCAAAATTGAGCTTCTTACGTTGAGTGGTTTGAGCAGGAGGGTGATTAATCAGTATGTCAGTCACTTAAGAATTTTATATATTAGTATACAGGGTTGTTCACCACATACGACACGGAGTATTGTAGCTAAACGATGAGATTTTTACAAATTGTAAGTTTGGGGTTCGTTGAAGGACTATTAGAGCTACAATTTAAAAATATTTTTACAAGATACAGAGTGTCCCAAATAAGTAAAAAATATCAAAGTTGTATTTTTTTAAATGGAACACCCTGTATATTATTACATTTTTAGTTTCCACGATTAAAATAAAGGTAAATTTGATTAAGGTTTATGATACTTAAACCTTACCGTTTTTGAAATATTTTCAATTTTGTGAAATTGCAGTAAAAATTTTAAGGCTTCATTTCTTCAAAGGTATCAAAGTTTTTAATGCTAAATAATTACTGAAGTTTATTTATTGATCAGTTATTGTGTTGCAATAATAAAAATAATACTACCTTATACAGAGTGTCTAAAAATTTATTTTAAATAATTATTAGCTTCAAATGGCAATAACTTGTTTAATTTAAATGGAACGCCCTGTATATTTTACGAGAATCAGATGCACAATTTAATTGTCTATCAAATAATATTATACCATTTTTTACCTATCTCTTTAAGTTTCCGTAGAAAATGCATTTTCTTGTAATTTAGAACTTATTTATCAATATACCCATGGACTATTGACATTTTAGATTATTTTTAAAGATGTACCAAATTTTTAAAGAGTACAGATACTAATATTGTCGATATAATTCGTTTATTTCTTTAAAAAATAAAAAAACTGTTTAAATATTTGTTAAAGAGGACCAATTAATATGATTCCAGTATTCAAACCACATTAACTGACTGTTTGCGTTGATTAATAATAATTGCTCCAAATACTAAAAAACTGAATTTTGTATGGGCATTAGACAGTGTGATAAAAGTAACACCTTAAAAATGATATTTCATTTTTTTAATAAATGCTTATTTATAACAACAAAGACTTTAATTTGATAACTTATTATTATATTGATTTCTGACTCAAAAATCCACATTTATTTATAATAATTTATTAACGAACACAATTAAGTATGTCATTAATTAGTATATGGGCGGAAATAATGGTGTTATATTTAATTAATGGTATACTCTTTTATAAAGAATTAAATAACTTTCTTTTTGCATACAAATGGGCTAGTAATATTATCGTTTTGCTAAAAACGATAATATTACTAGTCTGTATATTTTGTACATTTGTTGCTTTAAAAACAATCTAAAATGTCAATATTCCATGGATATAATGAGGTCTAAATTATAAGAAAATGCATTTTCTACGAAAACTTGAAGGGATAGGTAAAAAATGGTATAATACAATTTGATAGACAATTTAATTGTGCATCTGATTCTCCTAAAATATACAGGGCATTCCATTTAAATTAAAGAAGTTATTGCCGTTTGAAGCTAATAATTATTTAAAATAAATTTTTAGACACTCTGTATAAGGTAGTATTGTTTTTATTATTGCAACACAATAACTGATCAATAAATAAACTTCATTAAATATTTAGTATTAAAAACATTGATACTCTTGGAGAAATGAAGCTTTAAAATTTTTACTGCAATTTCACAAAATTGAAAATATTTCAAAAACGGTAAGGTTTAAGTATAATAAACCTTAATCAAATTTACCTTTATTTTAATCGTAGAAACTAAAATATAATAATATACAGGGTGTTCCATTTAAAAAAATACAACTTTGATATTTTTTATTTATTTGGGACACTCTGTATCTTGTAAAAATATTTTTAAATTGTAGCTCTAATAGTCCTTCAACGAACCCCAAACTTACAATTTGTAAAAATCTCATCGTTTAGCTACAATACTCCGTGTCGTATGTGGTGAACAACCCTGTAGATACCGAATTATAATTACTGAATTTATCAATTTTTGTAATAGGTAAATACATAATATACACTCTAAAAAAAATTCTGTACCTTGGCTAGTATTCCTCTGCAAAGTAAACGTAACAAAACTGTATCTATCTATTCGTGTTAAAGAAATTTGAACTCTAAGGTCAACGTGGTGTAACAGCAATTCCATTTCATATCGATTTACTAACGTGTATTTCCTAATTTGTTATGAAGTAGCAACAACACAATGTATACCCATTAAAGAAATTAGTTATTGATTGTATATTTTGTATTATTGTAAATATGTCGTATTATGTTTCAAACTAATACGTCAAAATTTGTGTTGACGTGATCTAGTCATATTTCTATACTGAAACTTTAATTTAACAAAAAAATAAGAAAAAAATATTTAAACTAAAATTTATGTAGGGTTGGGGTGTGAGTTTCCACCTTTCCCGTACTTTTTCTTGAATTTTGTAAAAGTCAAATATTAAAGCACTTAAAAAAATATCCAAAATCTCAATCAAATCCGAATAGCGGTTCTTAAAATATCTGAAAAAATGTGTTTTCTAATTCTAACGTTTAAAAGTAGAGGGCATCACTCTAGCGGACAAACGAAGCACTTTTGTATAGAGGTAATGAACTTGTTTTAAATCCACAAATAGGCAGTAGTTCTATGTCCACGGAATATCGGGACACTCTGTATACAGGGTGAGTTTACTTACAATGTTCTCTATGGGTATTTCGGGAACTACTGAGCAGGGCCGGCGGAAGGGAAATATTGAGACCGGGCGAACACCCTACCTGGCGCCGCAAGCCGAACAAACTGCGGATTAACTATTGATTTTTTAATGGCAACGTCGGTATATTTCTGGTTTATTCGAGAGAAAATGACACTCTGAGTAGAATGACATATCATATGTCAATTTTGACGTTTTTGCTCAAAAAATCGTATTTTAAATTTCAATCTAGAGTGCCATGGCTGTGTTAAAAACACTAATTTTTAAACAAGGAGCCTTGGAAAAATAGATTTGGTCGTCTATGTTTTTCGTTCCTGGTCGGTTAAAAAATGCCCAAATTGTATTTTTAATCATATGCCAATTTTTTCAAATGGAACGAGTGGCTCATTTGCATATTTTGTAAAAGAATTTTTTACGAATAATTTTGTATCACACACTTGATATTTCGAGTCAAATTATCGTTATGAACCGTATGTTATAATTTCCTTTGAATAAGAAGACTAAGGAAGGAGCATATCAAAAATCTTAGGTACACCGCGATGGGCCTCAAATATGGCCGACTTAAATTCCGGTTTATCAGTGTCGTTCTAATTTTATTTAAAAAATGTAAAACTATGATGTAGGGCAGACGTGGGGTAGACTCAATAATTTGTTGTTTTATTTTACGTTGTGAATAAATGTTGGTAGTTATTAAAATTGTTATAAAAATATATAATTCTAATAAAAATAGATAAGTTATAATAAGTATTTATTAACACAAACATCCGATACGCTACTGAAGCAGGTAAGTCAAATTAACGTATCTAAATTCTTTGACATCTAATCTTTGACAAGTAATAAATAAAAGCTAAAATGCAAGAAAAATATATAATTTAGTTAATTTAAGTGAATTTCATAAATGATCGGTTTACAACACGTATGTATATTATATAGTCCCTTACTAGCGAAAAGTTGTTCCATTATTTCACTCAATTTTTGCCGAGATCTACCGCACGCTACACGACCAACTATTTTAGAGTCTTTTTCGATAAATCGCGATAGTGTCACTGTTAATTTAAGTTCTGCCACAATTTCCATCTAGATTTTTACTTTTTATACAACTATCAGTAGTAGAATAAATAATAAATAACATAAAATAAGCTCCGTAAAGACTGACAAATCCACAAAATTTCAAATCAAATTCAAATGTGTCAAATGAATCGTCAAACAGAATTGTCAAGGATCCCCACTCTAGAGAGCTTTTATGGTGGCTTTTCCGCCCACCATGCATGAATACATGGATAGCATTATGCTCGTTCCTTAGTCTTCTTATTCAAAGATAATTTCAAATAATCCATATGCGAAAATGTCAAAAGTTGACACATTATGATATGTTCAGATTGTCATTTTCTATCGCATAAAGTAGAAATACCGAGGTTGACATTTAAAAATCAAAAGTTTTATTAATTTCCGGTGAAAGAGGAAGTGATCAAAAACAATTGGATACGTCAATTAATCCTAATTTATGTCGTATACTAACATACCAAATCTCGTTTTTTCATCTGAAAATATAGGAGTGAGCCAGTTTTGAGACGCACCCGGTATATAAATGATAAGTATAAGTGATCTTTGAAAACATTACTATTTAGTTGCAAGCAATTGCATTATTTTTCTATAAGAATTTAAGAAAAATTTCTTTTCTTTTTCACAATCAATTATTTCGTGCAGAATCTGTATAGGTATGATCAGATACAGTTTTGTCGGCTTCGAAATGAGAATCAGCCAGTGTTTGAGATTTGAGATGCATTCATTTGTCTTGCTTTAATGAGAAATTTCTACGATTCTGCTACCATTTACCATGTATTACTACATATTCAATCCGGAACAATCAAAATCACCAAAAGATTGATATTTTTCCCACTACTGGTTAATTAATTAATGAGGCAAACTTACAAGCTCTTTTTTGATAATAAGGATATCGGGATCCTATTTAGCTTCTTGCGAATGAATATTTGTCTCATATAATTTTAGGGCAGATCAGCCATTAACAAATAAAGGGTGTGGGTAGTAGACAAAGTGCAATTTTGAGCAACAAGCAGTCTAAAACTGTCAATTTTGCTGGCTCTTGACCCAAAACAGTTTGTTTAGAGAAAATTTATAAAAACAAGAATTATAGAAAGAATGGTTATTTACAAAAAGTTGATAGCTTTTCAGTTATAAGTAAAATACCACGAACAATTTTTTTTAAATATTTTAGTTGCTGGCTCCGATTTTTTCTAAAACCTGTCATTTTTGACATATGACACAAAAATTTGTTGTTTTTTTAAATAGAAATCATAGTTGGCCATGACTTCATAAAAAGCGCCATTTTTTAAGCTTTTCTCAAAGTTTTTTTCAAAAAATGATTTTAGCTAAAAGATTTATAACCAATTCTTATCTTTCTTGACTAATTTCACTTAGCTGGCGTGTTCTTATTTTGTTATGATTTATAACTTATAAAAAGACAAAATATATTATTAAACGGCTCTTTACAATTTACATTACACAAACTGACAAACTAAAACTTAAAAAGGTAATATCACTACATACACTTTAAGTTATTTTAGAAAATGTTCAAAAAATCCGCCATTGTTTTGAGTACATAAATGCATCTTTTTAAAACTTAATTTCTAGCTATTCTCACAGAATGACCGGTCGACTTAATTAAACTTCTCCTGTACCGCCTTTTCGAGGGCCTCTCTTAATTCATAAGTTCTTTTGTAAACCTTGCTGTTAACCATACCGAATAAAAAAAATCTAAAATGGATAGGTCAGGTGATCGAGGAGGCCCACCTCTTTCTATCCCTGAATCTACATAATTATGATATAAATAATTTTTAACCTAAGTTTGTCATAATGAAATTCATGTTGGAACCACTCTAATAATGCGCGAGTATCTATATTTAACTTTTCTAACATGTCTTTGAAAACTGTTCTCTAAAAAACATAAGTAACGTTCACCGGTCAACGTATCCTCGAAACTGTATGGCCAAAAAAAGTTGAACCAATAATCCTACACGCTTTTCATCATTTGAAAAATTCATATTTACAATTTTTGTTTATTTTAATTTACGTTATTTTTAAGTTTGGATGTGACAGTTTCATATTTCTGAGAGCGACGGCGATTGAACTTGTTTCCATGGTGAAATTAGTCAAGAAACATAAAAATTGGCTATAATTCAGTAATTTTGTGAAAAAAAAACATATTGTATCTAGCTTATATCGCTGAAAAGCTTAAAAAATGGCGCTTTTTATGAAGTCATGGCAAACTATGGTTTCCATTTAAAAAACATATGTTTGTGTCATATGTCAAAAATGACAGGTTTTAGAAAAAATCGGAGAACACAATCTCATTCGGGATGTGATTATCTACAACTTTTATCTGAAAACTTTTTGTCTAAAATAGATTATAATGGAATTTGGAACAATTTTTAAAATATCCGAAATTTGTTTTTTTCGAAATATCTAGTAAGCCATGAACTTTTTCAAAAATCTGAAAGGCGCATATTTATGACCCCACAAAACTGCAATTCTTTCCCCATTTAACCGACTGTTCATCTCCAGTAGTTTCCGAGATACCCATAGAGAACATCGTAGGAAACTCACCCTGTATACGAGATAAAATAAAATAACTTAATAAAAAATTATAAATACTTTATTAACAGTTAAATCTAAAATTGCACTAACTAAACATCATAATCTCGTGTTCAAATTTGTCTCAGACTGAACAAATGCACTGTTATCGATTCCATTCTTGCTAAACCTTGCCTCTCCGCTAATTTTCATCCAAAAATCTTCCGCTTTCAAGGACTTAATAACTTCGGCATATTTCTTTTGGGACTTGGAGAATCTTTTGAATTTCGGACAGATAAATTTGCCTAAAACCGTCTCAACAATCACCGATTCAGTAAAGTGACAGGCCACGTAGTTGACAGCTGCTATACACAGTATCATGATTCTACCATCGAATTGTGGTGGTACCATCAACTCCATGAAGCTTTGTGTGAAATTTCCAGGGTATATCGCCATATATGTGCAAATTGCTGTCATCAAAGTTAATGAGAACATTAGAATTCTGTTTGTGTAGATGGGTTTACGATAGGGACTTCCCTGAGAGAACACAATTGCCATTATGATGTACTGGTACATTGAAACACAAAAAACTGCGTAGTTTTCGTAGGATTCACTAAACCTCGTGATAGATCCTGGGGTAGATTCATAAATAAAGGGAGTAAACCAGTCGAAAGTTTGAATATAGTAATAAGAAAACGTTTGAAACACCCCGGTGAGTATCATAAACAAAGCCAGAGACACCAGAGGTACAAAACTTAAAAGACTCGTCCTCGGAGGCGTTGTTGCCAGCTTCTCGTAAGCTCTAGTTCTTCCAAACGACACAGCAAAGTGCAGAACCAAAGGAACATCAATAAATAAGAACTGCATTGAGCTTAAGTTTGTGTCAATTCCATACAGGATTATAACAGAGGTGAATTCTGTCAAGCTGTAGCACAGCATCATTTTGAACACTCCAAAGGAGGTGACAAGCGCTGCCCGACCTTCTTTGATCACTTTGGGTACGCAGGAAATGTTGGGTTCCATCGATGTGAACGGAGAAGCTACGCTGCTTTCAGCTTCCGAAAGTGAGATTCCTACGTGCGCTGCCTTGAGTGCTCCACAGTCGTTTGCTCCATCTCCACACATTGCTACAAAAAAAATCAAGTAACTTAAAACATGAATTTACCATTTTTTTTCGTATACTACAAACAAAATTAGAGGTAATACCACAGATTATACAGATTAGAATCTTTGTTTTTTCTTTATTGTTTTTCGTGGTTCCAATTTTTGGAATCGGGCACTAGTTAGGTTACTAGTTTGCGTACATAGCACGCCCATTTATGGCCGCTAAAATTGTGCACAGCGCCTGACCGGCACAGTTATTAGAGAGATATCGGAAAACCGAATAGCGTCATCCAGTATTTACGCGTACACCTTATCATGGTTACGATATGCGCGAGTCAATTTTTAACGCAACACCCGCTAATAGCGTTACCGTCAGACGTAATTTGCGGATCAATTACACCAAGCGCTCTTTCTAAATAACCTCTGATAACGTTTAAAAATTGCTTAAATGGGCATGTGCGGGTATTTGACAACCGGAGCCGGCCGGCGAGATCTTTTATTTTAGGTTATGTTTGAATTGTTTTGAATTATTGCTTTAGTTTTATTAGGTAATTTGATATTTAAGTAGCTGGGATTAGTTTTAATTAAATAAATATGGCCGAAAATATGGATTCCACCTCTTCCAATACAAGAACCTATAAAGAGTCTTAGGTTTACAGCAGATGACGACTTAGCCCTTCTAAGAGAATTTGTTGCTTGTTGCCCTAAGCCCACTGGCAGACATTGAACAATAAAGCACTGGAAATAAGCACTTTAGCCCTTTAGTTTTAAAACCTAGTAAACAAAACAATTTCAAAGTTTTAAATTCAAAGTTAGGTTAAGTTTAAATAGCGGACGCGACGCGATCAGTACTTGTGTCTAGCCCTAGCAGCCCTTAGAGTTTTTGACAAACACAAATGAATTAACACCCTTCAAAAAACCACGCTAACCAACCTGATTGGTCAAGCTTAATAGTTGACTGCTAGGGCTAGACCAATGACACAAATTACCTATAACAGATGCGAAAGAACACCGAATTACGCGTTCAGGTTTCTGTGACCTTCAGAAAGAGTTCATAGACAATCCGCATCAATGTATAATTTGGGTTATTATTTGTTTGGGTGAAAATAATCTGCACCAATATGTTATCGAGGCATACAAAAAGGTCCTGAGACTTCGAGACATATACGAAAAATCAAGTCCATTTAGCGTGTGTCACCAAATTTTCACACAGACAAAAATTTGTTTTATAGCTATAACAACTGCAGCGACTATGAAAAAAAGCGTGTGGATTTTCATAGAAAAATAAGGGCACCTGTAATTCATTTGAGAATCTTATAAATCGCTAAAAGAGGTTTCAAAGCTCTTGGATTTCTAATAATATTAAATAAATTTTATTAAAAATTGAACTAAAATTGTTAGAATCATTAAAAACAATTCAAATTCAAAAAATTGTATCAGTCAAATTCCCTCATTTAAGGTGAATATTAAAGTAAATATAAATACAGCTCATTCTAAGCTCTACTTATCTTTAAGAAAAAAATTTAAATCATTATTGCAATTGGGCCTTAATGCCATTTCGAATAAACAATAGTATTAATAATGTACATTATAATAATAATAAATTTTATATCATAGTGTGTATTAAAACTACTAAAACACTTTTTAAATTGGTATTATGGTAACAACTTTGTTTTTAATCAAAAAAAGTTACCAATTTTCTCAATCAAAATATTTGTGGTCCTGAAAAGGACCTTCGTTTTCCCATGTTCGTCAAGGTAGGTAATGGGTAAACGGTAAAAAACAGGATAATGAAATTTAAAAATTACAAAAAATTGTTCAAAAGTGCCTCCCCTCTTGCATTAAACAATAACCCAAACGATCATAAAATCCCTCCTCACATTGGATAACATATCAGGGGGTGACAGGATATCATATCAGTGTCAAAAGGCATTAAATATTTTCTGCCTTAACTGCTCCAAGTTTTGAATTTCTTCACTTGGCCGTAAATTTTAGATTTTATGTACCCCATAAAAAAGAAATCATTCACCGAGAAGTCAGGTGAAATTAAACGTCAATCTAAACAAAACTGTCATTTTGAAAACTTGTCAAAATTTGGACACACGCTAAATGGACTTGATTTTCCTATGTCTCGAAGTCTGTGGACTTTCTGTATAATCTCACAGCAATTTAATAGATTGCTCGTCATATTATATCAGCTCGTAGGAGATTAGGAAAAAAAAAAGATATTTATAGTATAAAAAAATTAATTTATTTAACAAAATTTAATTAAAAAGATGTGACAAAATAGTTACATTTCTATTGAGTTCTATCGGACTTTTTCGACCATATAAATCTTTATTTTTTTGCAAACTTTTAATGCATAAAATATTTTCAATCTAATAAATAATTTAATGATGTAAATAAGAAAAAAGTTTCTCACATGGGTGGTCAAATTCTATAGTTTTTCATTATATCAAACAGCCTCTGAATGTTTTCTTCAAGTGCAAAACTCATCAAAATTTAATATAAATAATTTTTCCAGCCTGTAAAATAAAATGAACAAATTTTTTCCACTTTCATGATCAAAGTCTTTTAAATGGGTAAATAATTTCGAGTTATCCAGAGATTCGGATTCTTTTGCAAATTTTAGACAAATTTCACATTGATGTATTTGAAGACCTTTTTAATGATGTAGTCAAACATAATTAAAGGCATTTGAGTTGAAAACATTTCTCAGAGGCTGTTTGATATAATGAAAACTATAAAATTTGGACCACCCATGGGAGAAATTTCCTCTTATTTACATCATTAAATGATTTATTAGATTGAAAATATTTGATGTATTAAAGTTTACAAATAAAAGATTTATATAGTCGAAAAAAGTCCGATAGAACCAATAGTAGAAAGGTAACTATTTGTCTACATTTTTTAATTAAATTTTGTTAAATAAATTAATTTTTTATACTATAAATATCTTTTTCCTTATAAATAAACACATTTGCATCCCATTTTAAATAAGATATACAAATTACCAAAACTTAGAAATAACAGTTCAAAAGTTCAACAAAAAATCCTACACGCGTTTTTAAAAAGAAACATATAACCACGCACTATGTCATTCCAGCAAGCGAATACGACACAGCATAGGTTTCCGGACTAAACGACTGGTGTATTTACACCACTCAATAAGCGTGTCGGGTTTGCCGAGCGGTTTCCGATGCAGTCGCTTTCTTTCGCATCTTTGTGCCAATGAGATAACTATAAATGAAGAGAGTTAATACCACCTCACGCAAAGGAAATAACACCTGGCCTTATTAACGTTCATGCACGCTATTCGGTTTAGCGATATCTCTCTATTACGCTGTTTATTGTTATTTTACGCGAGTTTATGTTTGCGCACAGGAAATTTGACTCGTTTGCACATCGTCATAAAAAACAATTTTCGTACCACGAATTAGAGACAAGATTTTTATCTTTATACTTATAGGATACCTACCTAATCTGTGGTAATACTCAATATAAGTCACAAAAGTCACATTTAACGAAAAACTACATGTGCTCCTTGATAATTAACGATTCGATAAACAAATTATAATAAAAATGTCCCGAAGAAAACTAATACAAACGATTTTACAAAACCTGAAGCATCAGCTTCTACAGAGAATTATGTATTTTAGCGATTCCAAATTGCTGCCGGTAGATTTTTAGAATGTTTATTTTTTTATCTACTTTAGGTTTAATCTTCCGCCTTTAAGATATCCCAAAACTGATATTTGATAAAGAAAATAGAGATTTTTTTAGATTATATTTCCTTACCTACGTAATATCCTAATAGTTTGAGTTGCTCAATTAACTGTTGCTTCTGAGCCCCTGACATTCTAGCAAACACAGCTCCCTGAGTAACTACCGTCGGTATCAAATCAGGAAAATATTTAACTATGTTACCCCAGGCTTCCCCAGTAACCACAAAGCAGTATTTCTTGTCTTTTTCGCCTATCGACTCTATGTCTTTGAAGGTACCATCATTATTGCCAGTAGCCTAAAAAATTACATTACGTCATTTAGAACAAGAATACCTTTATGTATTTTAGCATTTATCAAATACCCTGTATATTGCAGTTACTTACAATTGCTTTGGTTGGCGTGCCTATAACTTTGTAGGTAATAGCTGCCGATTCTTGTTTGCTGGGTCTGGTTGTTAATATCTCTAATATTGTACAATCTGGATCAATAATTTTACACTCTTTGGCTACTGTGACGGCTGTTTGAATATTATCTCCTATAAAAAAATAAGTTTGTTTCAGGTAATGCCTGGAGGAGTTGAAAAAAATAATAAATAACGCTTTATTGTACAAAAAGCCAAAATAGCTTCGTCGACAAAAGAATTTAAAAAACAAACAAAATCACAAAAAATATACAAATAATAAAAAATATCATACAATACAAATCAAACAATTCCAAAAAAAATACGCCATACATGAACATTGCAGAACACAGGCGTATCTAGAAAATTTTACAAAAGGAAAACTGTAAATGGATAAAATCATGTTATAATAACATAAAATCAAGAGTTATAAAATATTAAATACTAGACCTTTAACCAGTGTGTGAGATGATCAAAATATTAAAATTAAAATTCCAAATTGTTCATGATTAAACATCAACAAAAAAGTCGTTTACCGCATATAGGGCTCTCTCAGTAAGTATGATTTCAGAGCTTTTTGCAGTGATAAGGAAAGAAATGAAAGTGACTTGATATTCGAAGGCAAATGATTGTACATTTCTTGGCAGTTGTAGTAGTATTGAGCCCTTAACTAGTTCTGAGCTCGGTGTTGGCAGATAAATATCGTGCTCCGCATTCCTAAGTGGATGGTTGTGAGAAGGCCTTTCCGGAATAGAGAATATGTGCTTGCGAAGTTAAGCAAACGGATTCAAAAATGAATAAGGAAGGAAAGGTCAGTATTTTTTAAGAAATCCTGGCAGTGAGTTCTACTGTTTAGTCCCAATAAGTATCGAACTGCTCTCTTTTGAAGTTTGAAAATACGATCAAATTTTGTCCTTGCAACAAGTACCCCAGAATGGAAGGGCATAACGAAGATGCGACTCAAAAAGGGCATAATAGACCATTCTAGAGGTTGATGAGTTAAGTTCCTTAGACACTGATCTTAGCGCAAAACAGGCAGAGCTTAGTTTCTTTGATAAGGCTTCGATGTGCAAGTCCCATTTTTAACGAGTTGTCCACAACAAGTCCTAAGAATCTCACAGAGTCCACGACGTCAATAGTGGTGTTATTAAGTACAAAAGGTTGTATAGTACTTTTATATGACAAAACTTTAGTTTTTGAAAGATTGAGGCATAGGAGATTAGAATCGCACCAAGATTTAATGGTGCGTAAGTCACAGAATATAGTATCATATAGTGCCGTAACATCTGGGCCGCTTCAAGTGAAACTAGTATCGTCCGCAAAGAGGCAGAATTTACCGCTAATGTCTAGATTTGCAATGTCGTTGATAAACACCAGAAATAAAATAGGGCCAGGTACTGAACCCTGAGGGACACCACATTCTATAGACTTACAAGAAGACATAGACGTATCAATCCTCACAAGCTACCTTCTGTTGCCAAGATACGACTTAAGCCATTCGAGCGGCACTCCCCTGAATCCATAGTATTGCAATCTAAGAATTTCACAGAATCCACGACGTCAATAGTGGTGTTATTAAGTACAAAAGGTTATAATATTTTTATATGACAAAACTTTAGTTTTTGATAGGTTGAGGCATAGGAGATTAGAATCGCACCAAGATTTAATGGTGCCTAAGCCCAAGTAGCATTTGGACGTTATCTAACGTCGGGTATACGTCGCGTTCAATAAACCCGACGTCGGTTACCAACGTCGGTTCGACCGCCTGACGACCCTTATTTGCACCTAAATGGGGAATACAGATTCGGGTCGCCTCGACGTCGGTATCTGACCTAATAGGGAATGTAATTCTACCAATCACCAACGTCATATTACGTTGGATTTTAGTTACTTAAAATTCGTTGCTAAGCACTTACGTTACGTTTGGTTTCATATTCGCTATCAAGAATACGCAAAAACCTAACCAAACTACCCCTAATTACAAATGGATTCATAAATCACTCCTCGAATATAACTATAAGTGCCTGTCTAATTTCATATTATAATAATTCTGAATCATTAATCCAGACATCAGTTTTGTCAACGGAAGTCCACTTTTTGATATATCTGATTAAGATACTCCGGAAAACAACGAGCGCTTCAAAATTAGGTAGATTTATAAATAAAAATATCTATAAAAAAGTTACTTGCAAAAATATTTTTTAATTTTCCTAGCTGGTTTAATCATACAACTGTACTCGTGGTTCCCCCAAACTCAACCTTATCAATATTATTCTACTAGAAATCGAAATGTGAATATAAATTTTAAAACAAAAACGATTTTAAAATGGCTGACAATCGGATACGTGTTAAGAATGGCGGATTTCTGTGTCCGACTTAATATGAACTACCAATACACTAATTCCGACCGGGTGTCAACATTAGTCGTCTCACACCACCGAAGATCATCAAACCGGACGACCGGCAATCGTATTATGACGTATATAATTCCAACGTACGCCACGTAACCTCACTTTCTGCGTATGGTGATTTGTGGATTTGTGCAACTATATTTTAGTTTTGTTTTCTCCTTAAAAAAATGGACAGCCACTTTTTAAGCTAACCTCACATGTGGGAGGAGGATGGGGTCTGCTGGTTTCCTAAGCTAAAATGAAATTAAGATGCACCAGTGTAATGCAGCATCTGTTCCCGGATAAAAATCATTTATATGAGTGGAGGCAAGACATCACTACTACTATTATTATTTTTGCAAAAAAGCCTTGACCTCTTTCTGTAAAATGTAGATGAATGTCTAAATGCCTTTTTAGTGTTTTTAGGCATAAGTTTGTTTACAAAAACTTTTATTAGGTTATGTTCATGATGTTCATTAGGGTCGCAAATACTACTTAATGGGTTGTATTTGGTTGTGATTCTGGACGTAAATAGAGATACGTAAATTAGGTTATAAATATGAACATAAAATACAACAAAAATATAATTGGACGTTACTTTAGGGATTATCAGTGAGACTTATCCTATTCGGACAACGGGTAGACGTCGGGCTGGTTCAAGTATATATGTACGTCGTGCAAGCCAACGTGGGAACGACGTTGGGAAATTAATAAAAATGGTACGTTGTTATTTTGTACGTCGACAGATCGTTGGATTTACCGACTCGGATCCAACGACGTCGCTTTTAATAGGAAAGCGACGTCACAGGTCGTATCACCAGCACCCGACCTAAATTTGCACAAAGTCTGACGTCGCTTCAGGTCAGATTTAGTTCGAAGTCAGATAGATGCTACTTGGGAGTCACTGGATATAGTATTATAGTGCCGTAACATCTGGGCCGCTCCAAGTGAAACTAGTATCGTCCGCAAAGTCGCAAATTTTACCGCTAATATCTAGATTTGCAATGTCGTTGATAAACACCAGAAACAAAATAGGGCCTAGTACTGAACCCTGAGGGACACCACATTCTATAGGCTTACAAAAAGACATAGACGTATCAATCCTCACAAGCTGCCTTCTGTTGCCAAGATATGTCTTAAGCCATTCGAGCGGCACACCCCTGAATCCATAATATTGCAATTTGTTAATTAAAATATTATGATTTACACAGTCGAACGCCTTAGAGAAATCGCAGAAAATTGTAGCTGTAGAGTGAGGGTTATTCAGGCTATAGAGTATACATTATTAAAAAGGTCGAACATAGCATCATTTGTGCAAACGAATCTTTCAATGATCTTAGATAATGTGGACAGGAGTACAATTGGGCGATAGATAGTTCGAAGCTTGATCTTTATCTCCTCCTTCATGCAGAGGAATAATTATTGCTGTCTTAAGGCAGTTTGGAAAAACTCCTTTTTGGAATGACTCGTTAATTAAAGTAGTAAGATGCATTAATGTGCATTCCGGAAGTTCAGAGAACATTTTGAGAGTAAGCCCATCAGTCCCAATGATGAGGATTGGTTTTTAATACTTTTAATTGTACTACGGAGCTCATCTAATGCTACGGGCGTGAAGAAGAAACTGTGTAAATTCTCATTGACTTTAGGGAGATATGAAAGTGAATCATGTGAAGAAGTTATGGTGTTCACTAAATTTTTAGAACGACGCGTAGAAAATTAATTTTCTGCGAGTCGTTACACAACCCTGGACAGAAACAGTAAAAATTATAAAAATCTTACCAGTAATCATCACAATTTTCAAGTTTGCATCTTTTAAAACCTGTATAATTCCATTCGTTTCAGGCTTCAAGCAATTTTCTAATATCAACAGTCCTACAAATTCCAAATCTTTTTCAATTTCCTCACGGGTAATTTCCAGTACTTTTTCATAATCTACATCCACAGGGAGACTTCTTTTAGCCAGACCTACAATAATCAAAATTATTTTGACTTATTTTTTTTGTTAGAAAAAAATAAATTACCTATTACTCTGTAACCTTTTTGAGTATACACTTTCAGTTGATCATACAGGTCATGAGGGATGGATTCTTCTCTGGATAGTGACACTACTTTTTCGGGTGATCCTTTACAGAAAATTTCGAAGTGATCATTTTCTGGAGATTTGGTTATCACAGACATCCTTTGTAGTGCCGAGGCGAATTGAAACTGTTTGATTATTCCGATTTCTTGAACTGCCTGTTAAGAATAGAAAAAAAATGTTACTATTCTAAGATCGAAAAAAAACGGTGTCAAAGACAGAGAATCATCGATTGTCATTTTCTAGCCGTCTTTGACGTCGTTTTTTTTTTCGATCAAACGTTACTATTTATTCACGTACATTATTTGCATCTAGTCCTGGAGATCTGACAACAAGGGATGCGGTGTAAGGGTCTGGATTTGCCTCCAGATAACCGTTATCTTCAAATATCCAGCCCGTTGACTCAAACATCTGGATACACAACAAAAATATTTAAAAAAATTGTTTTCAAAAAAATTAATGTTCAAAACGAACCTTTACGTCCAAAGGATCTCCGCAAATTTCTCCTTCTATTGCAGACAGACTGTGACAGGAAGCCATACCTCTAAACACATCTGTGGTACTTTCTAACAGAGAAATGTCCTTGATTGGTTTACCTAGTTGCTTATTGCTGACTGGTACGACACCCCACATGTCCAATGCGTCTTCTGTCAAAGTTCCCGTCTATAAATAATAAAATATACCGTTTATTATAACTCTAACTCTTTTTATTAGACAAAAATTTCTAAGCTGCTAGGAAAACTGTATATACAGGATGGCGGAATATTACAGCCACACAGTGGGGTATTTGACACTGATAGTTGATCGAAATTTTATGTAGACCTTATATAAATTATTGCTATTTTCAATTAAAGAGGAAATAATATGAACAAAATAAAGGATAATTCGTCGATTCTAAAAAAAGAAAGAAAAATCACTGTTCCAGTGTTTCCACGGTCAGTGCCAGTAGTACGAGGCATGTTTTTTAAGTAAGTACCGTTTTGCGATTCCGCCGCCGCAGCGCTACGGTCGGCGTTCCGCGCATGCGCGCTGGTTACCTACATCTCTTGTCTATGCACAGACGCCAGTACAGTCTAATTCTTCATTGTATACGTTGTTTATTGAGTGTTTAAGATGCCTCCGACAATCGTGAGCCCCGCCGATTGTGAAGTACGGGCTGTCATACGATTTCTTAGTGCTAAAGGCGTAAAACCGATCGATATTCATCGTGAGATCTGTGAAGTTTACGGACAAAACATTATGAGTGATGGAATGGTAAGGAAATGGGTGAGAGCATTTAAAGATGGCCGCACAAATGTGCATGATGAAGAACGGAGTGGGCGTCCTTCGGTCGTTAATAAAGATTTGGTGCAGAAAGTGGACGAAAAGGTGAAAGAAAACAGACGCTTTACAATTTCATCATTGTGCGACTACTTTCTTCAATGTTCTCGTAGTGTTTTGTATCGCATTGTGACCGAGAACTTGAATTACCGGAAATTGTGTTCACGTTGGGTTCCGAAAATGTTGACGAATTTGCACAAAACCCAACGTTTAGGCAGTGCATTGACTTTCCTTGAGCAGTACCACAATGAAGGTGAAGATTTTTTAGACAAAATTGTTACTGGTGACGAAACATGGGTGGCCTACGTCACACCAGAATCAAAACAACAGTCCATGGAATGGCGACATTCATCATCACCCAAAACAGTGAAGTTTAAGCAAACAATTTCTGCCCGAAAAATCATGTGCACAGTTTTTTGGGACAGAAAAGGAGTATTGCTAGTGGAGTTTCTGCCTCGTAATGAGACAATCAATGCAGCATCTTATTGTGAGACATTGAACAATCTGCGCCGTGCAATCCAAAACAAAAGACGTGGCAAGTTGAGTAAGGGTATTGTTTTGCTGCATGACAATGCCCGTCCACATGTGGCTAATCGGACCAAAGATCTCATCAAATCTTTTAAATGGGAAACTCTAGATCATCCTCCATACAGCCCTGATCTGGCGCCCAGTGACTACCATTTATTCCTGTACTTGAAGAAACACCTGGGCGGTCAGCGTCTTCAAGACGATAACGAAGTCAAAACAGTTGTGATACAGTGGTTAACCAGTCAGGCGGCAGAATTTTATGAGGAGGGTATTGAAAAACTGGTGCCACGTTATGACAAGTACCTCAATATTCACGGAAATTATGTAAAAAAGTAGATTAAAGTACAGGCTTTCATGTAAAAATAAAATTATTGCGATATCTTTGCACGTTTTTTTTTAATTCCAAAACGGTACTTACTTAAAAAACATGCCTCGTAATATCGCAACTACTACTACTAATGCTACGACTGATCCGTGAGCAATGCCCATACCACTAAAGTCGCTACTAATGCCAAATTGTGCTATACTGCTAATGGCACTAATGCGATCGCTTTGTACACAACAATGCCATCGCGGTTTACACCTCGCATTAGTATATCACTGATTGGCAAATTAGAGGAAACCAAGAATGTTTTTCTCATTTTATCAGGAAATCGCAAAAGTCGCAGTATTTTATTTTACTGTATGAAAGCCCAATGTTTACTAAGTAAAACGTATATAGACAATATGCTGAATTCTTCGAAATGCGCAACTAAATCTCTAAGTATAATAAAAATGTCACAAATTTAATCAAATTTTCTGAACGCCTAACTTTTAGTTGCAAAAAAATCGTTAGTATAGAGAATATCAAAATAAATAATACGTTTTTGTAGAATACATACCTGCAGCTTGCTGAGCCATTTTCAATCAAAACAATAATATAAACGTAAAAAGAGCACAAGAACAACAACAATTTATAATTTTAAACATAAAATTTACCTCTTATCTGTGAGAAGTAACAACTTTGACGTTTCGTTGAAACAAATGAATGCAACTAAACACACCCATAGCAACGCCATTCATGGCAGAGATGATTTAACTTATCATTTATCTTTTTTTGGGAAATCTTAAACACAATTGCTTTTTCAAATTTCGATCACCTTTTTCATGCTAATACCCCACCGTGAGCCACCTAGATTTCATCAAATAATAAAGATCTACTGATGCTAAATCATATTAGCGAAAATATCTAGGAAACTCTTTGTCTGAGGGTTAGACTTTGAGAGATATAAATTCTGTACCTATTTAATATCGGGAATAATATACCGGCTGTTCAATTTAAAATAAAAGAGTAACTTGCTTTTGAAAGTGACGGATGTTTGATATTAATTTTGTCCCACCCTGTATAAGTTTCCGGGTCAAGTTTTAATATGATTTAAAGTACAATGGATTTTTTTAGCTACATGGTATACGGGGAAAATTTAAATTTAGGTAGCTTTTATTGAAATTTAAAATTTGTTCTTAAAAATGTTAAATATGGCGAAAACCTTACATTTTGGTCATATGCTTTTCTAGTGAAATTTACCTTTATGTTTTTTAATAGAATCCTAAAATCAGTTATACCGGGTGCGTCTCAAAAGTGGCTCACCCCTATAACTTTTTTATTTTTTTAGTTAGAAACGAGATTTGCTGTATTAATATCTGACATAAATTAGGATTGATTGACGTATTCAATTGTTTTTGGTCACTTCCTGTTTCACCGGAAATGACCACAACTTTTGATTTTTAAATGACACCCTCGGTGTTTATTTACTTTATTCGATAGAAAATAACACTCTCTTTGAATAAGAAGACTAAGGAAGGAGCATAATGCTATCCATGTATTCATGCATGGTGGACGGAAAAGCCACCATAAAAGCTCTCTAGGGTGGGGATCCTTGACAGTTCTGTTTGACGATTCATTTGACACATTTGAATTTGATTTGAAATTTTGTGGATTTGTCAGTCTTTACGGAGCTTATTTTATGTTATTTATTATTTATTCTACTACTGATAGTTGTATAAAGGTAGTAAATCTAGATGGAAATTGTGACAGAACTTAAATTAACAGTGACACTATCGCGATTTATCGAAAAAGACTCTAAAATAGTTGGTTGTGTAGCGTGCGGTAGATCTCGGCAAAAATTGAGTGAAATAATGGAACAACTTTTCGCTAGTAAGTGACTATATAATATACATACGTGTAGTAAACCGATCATTTATGAAATTCACTTAAATTAACTAAATTATATATTTTTCTTGCATTTTAGCTTTTATTTATTACTTGTCAAAGATTAGATGTCAAAGAATTTAGATACGTTAATTTGACTTACCTGCTTCAGTAGCGTATCGGATGTTTGTGTTAATAAATACTTATTATAACTTATCTATTTTTATTAGAATTATATATTTTTATAACAATTTTAATAACTACCAACATTTATTCACAACGTAAAATAAAACAACAAATTATTGAGTCTACCCCACGTCTACCCTACATCATAGTTTTACATTTTTTAAATAAAATTAGAACGACACTGATAAACCGGAATTTAAGTCGGCCATATTTGAGGCCCATCGCGATGTACCTAAGATTTTTGATATGCTCCTTCCTTAGTCTTCTTATTCAAAGAACACTCTGAATAGAATGACATATCATATGTCAACTTTTGACATTTTCGCATATGGTTTATTTGAAATTATAAATTATGGTTCGTAACGAAAATTTGACTCGAAATACCAAGTGTGTGGTTAGGTTAAATTATTGAACAAATATGCTAATGAGCAACCCTTGTTCCATTTGAAAACAATGAGATATGATTAAAAATACGATTTGAGCATCTAACTGGCTAGGACAAGACATTAAAAACATTAGACGATCAAATCTATTTTTCCAAGGCTCCTTCAGGAATAATTTCCGGTGAAACAGGAAGTGACAAAAAACAATTTAATATGTCAGTCAATCCTAATTTATGTCATATACTAACATACCAAATCTCGTTTTTTTAACTAAAAAAATTTAAAAAAAATATAGGGGTGAGCCACTTTTGAGACGCACCCGGTATATATATTTATAAGATGCTCTAATTTAACCCAATAAATATGATCCCAAAATTTCTTGACAATACAAAGCGTCATTTTCCTTTGAGCTTCCGCTTCGTATTAGAGGTGCCATCCTGTATACAGGGTGTTTCAAAACAAATGCGAAAAACTTCAGGGGCTGATTCCTTGTTCAAAATAAAGGGTAGTTTGCTTCATAAACGTTGGGTCAAAAGTCAACCATTAGGGAGATATCGCGGTACAAAGATGGCGGAAAAATAATGTTTTTATTTTTTATCTTGAAAACGAAAGGAGATAGACTAATGAAATTTTTTGGAAGCATTACTGTTATGAAAACACACTTTCTGGTATTTTTTTCACTTTTTTAAAATAAGTGGAAGGGGTTGAAATAAACTACCCTTATCATTCTTGTTAACGAAATTTAAAGAAAAATCTTATCAAATACATGCAAAAAAAATATTTGGATAGTTTAGTTTGTTTAGACACTTTTTTATCTCTTGTGTTTTTTTGGTAAAACTCACCGATTTGAAATTAAAAAATAAAATGTAAAGCATTACAATCATTTCATGACAAAAAACATTTTTGGATAAAGAATCTAGTAGGCTGCTGTCAAACAGTTTTATTTCGTAATAATATCGTTACATTTTCTTCTGAACGATAACCTCTTAAAAATTATTTACCAAACAATTTTTAATTCTGTTTTTTAATTCATGAAAGTACAAAATAATAAAAAAAGTACATATTAAAAAATAAAAATGTTTTTTGTCCTGACATGGGGTAATGCTTTACATTTTATTTTTTAATTTCAAATCGATGAGTTTTATCAAAAAAACACAAGAGATAAAAAAGTTTCTAAACAAACTAAACTATCCAAATTCATTTTTTTGCATGTGTTTGATAAGATTTTTCTTTAAATTTCGTTAACAAGTATAATAGGGGTAGTTTATTTCAACCCCTTCCACTCATTTTAAAAAAGAGAGAAAATTACCAGAAAGTGTGTTTTCATAACAGTAATGCATCCATAAAATTTCATTGGTCTATCTCTTTTCGTTTTCAAGATAAAAAATCTTGGTACCGCGATAACTCCCTATTGGTTGACTTTTGACCCAACGTATATGAAGCAAACTACCCTTTATTTTGAACAAGGAATCACCCCCTGAAGTTTTTCGCATTTGTTTTGAAACACCCTGTATATGTATACACATATTTTTGCAATGGTAATTACCTTATCAAAACAAACACAGTCAACAGAACCAGTGACATTGATTACTCTGGAATTTATGCAGAAGATTCTGTTATTTTTCAATCTCTGAATGGCAAAAAGTTTTCCAACTGTCATGGCAGCAGGTAAAGCTGGTGGAATCACTATAGTGATAATGTCCAGAGCTTTTAAAGCAATATCGGCAGGACTCACATTGCGTTGGGCCTAAAACACACAAAAACACTATTTATTTCTCAAAAAAATCTCTTAAGTTTATTAAAAGAAATGAGAATTTCAAGAATCACCCTGTATTTTCCACTCGCAGAAAGTAACATTTTTATATAAATAAATAAAACAATCAGAAAAAATTATAGTCTTTTAGTGTTCTCCTAGTTAAATTGACATGACCGCGTACTATGGATATTAAATTTATTTACTTTTTGTATTAGTATAAGTATAATTTATTATCCCGAAAATGTTTTGACAGCTCAAATAAATATACTTTAATTCTGATTGATATAAAATAAATGAATTTTTCTCGGTTATTTTAAAATAATTCAAAGATATTTATGATATAATTTATTAGTGGTGATTTTTTTTATTTATATAACACACTTCTACAATATCATAGAAAGATAAACCCTATACTTGAAATATCAAAGGTACAGATTTATTGTAAAGAAATATTTTTTTAATACTTTTATGGTTACGTTAATACCAAACTATGTGTTAGGTATTATAGTATGATTGTTATAAAATTAATTCATTAATGATTTAACTTAAGCTCGTTTATCCTAATCATAATTTCGAATATATTAATAGAAATTATCTATTGAAGTACTATTTGTCACATATAGTTATTATTTTTATTATGTATAAAAAAAGTTGAGAAGATTCCCATTTTTGAATATTCTTAACACATTTTTAAAGGTCTCAGAAAAATAGTAAAGATAGTGGTAAAATTATGAAAATATTAGCATTAGTAGGAAGTTTTACGTAGATTCAGAATATATACACCTTTAAAGGCTTAGATGCTTTGGTTTTGTGAGAAAAGTAATTTTTTAAACCCTTGTTTTTGAGCTATTTATTAAATGCTCAATTTTTGAATATTTTTTACATATTTTCAAAGGCCTTAGAAAAATAGTAAACATAGTTATAAAATTATGAAAATATGAATATTTGTAGGAAATTTCATGTAGTTTCATAATATTTACACCTTTGAAGGCTTGGGTACCTTGGTTTTGTGAGAAAAATATTTTATTGGACCCTTGTTTTTGAGCGATTTATTAAATGCCATATTTTTGAATATTTTTTTACACATTTTCAAAGGCCTTAGAAAAACAGTAAACATAGTTATAAAATTATGAAAATATAAATATTTGTAGGAAATTTCATGTAGTTTCATAATATTTACACCTTTGATGGCTTGGGTACCTTGGTTTTGTGAAAAAAATATTTTTTTGGACCCTTGTTTTTGAGCTATTTATTAAATGCCCAATTTTTAAATATTTTTTTACACATTTTCAAAGGCGTTAGAAAAACAGTAAACATAGTTATAAAATTATGAAAATATAAATATTTGTAGGAAATTTCATGTAGTTTCATAATATTTACACCTTTGAAGGCTTGGGGACCTTGGTTTTGTGAAAAAAATATTTTTTTGGACCCTTGTTTTTGAGCTATTTATTAAATGCCCAATTTTTGAATATTTTTTTACACATCTTCAAAGGCCTTAGAAAAACAGTAAACATAGTTATAAAATTATGAAAATATAAATATTTATAGGAAATTTCATGTAGTTTCATAATATTTACACCTTTGAAGGCTTGGGTACCTTGGTTTTGTGAAAAAAATATTTTTTTGGACCCTTGTTTTTGAGCTATTTATTAAATGCCCAATTTTTGAATATTTTTTTACACATTTTCAAAGGCCTTAGAAAAACAGTAAACATAGTTATAAAATTATGAAAATATAAATATTTGTAGGAAATTTCATGTAGTTTCATAATATTTACACCTTTGAAGGCTTGGGTACCTTGGTTTTGTGAAAAAAATATTTTATTGGACCCTTGTTTTTGAGCGATTTATTAAATGCCATATTTTTGAATATTTTTTACACATTTTCAAAGGCCTTAGAAAAACAGTAAACATAGTTATAAAATTATGAAAATATAAATATTTGTAGGAAATTTCATGTAGTTTCATAATATTTACACCTTTGAAGGCTTAGGTACCTTGGTTTTGTGAAAATATTTTTTTTGAGCCCTTGTTTTTGAGCTATTTATTAAATACCCAATTAAAAAAAAATACACATTTTCAAAGACTTTAAAAAATAGTAAACATAGTTATAAAATTATGAAAATATCAGTATTTATAAGAAATTTTATGTAGATTCATAATATATACATTTATAAAGACATATTAATTTTCTTACCTTTGAAACTATGGTGTAAATGAATCCTATAGCTGCTATAAAAGCTAAAATTCCGATGTATTTGTAGCTGTCTCTTTCAAATTTAAAATCAGCTGGGGGAGGGTACAAAATGCTTCTTACCAGCTCACCTTTGCTGGTCAGAAATGCAGTACGAATCACTACAGCCATCACTTGATCTTTTCCTTAAATTATAAAAAAAAATATTTTTATAGAAAAAATGAATTTAGGGAACAAGTTTCTGTGCTTACCTTGAGACCGGGTTTGGATAATTTTTGTGCCACAGAAAAGAGTATGATTGACGTCTTCTTTTACACTGTAAACGTAGGTGTTGTTTTCTAATGCAGTTTTGGTTACTGGCACAGATTCGCCTAAAAAAAATAGTTATAACTGTGATTGAGTTTTATGTTTATTTATTTAGTTCAATCTTTACCTGTAAGCATACTTTCGTTCACTATAGCACTACCAGACAACAGCACAGCATCACAGTACATTTCACATCCTAATTTTGGAATCACTATGAGATCTCCAGGAACCAAATCCAGAGTTGATATTTCTTCGTACGTGTCATGGCCTCTTTTTACCGTTACAGTGGATGTTGAGCTTACTGTTCCTTTTAGATTTTTTTGATTCTGAAAAAAATGACATATGAATTAAAGTTGACGAGATCTTATAGTTTTTTTCTTGACGAAATGGCGAAGGCGCCGATTAAAAAATATCTTGAATTCTTTAATAATTCGTTTTTAATCTATCTATACTAATATCCTTCTAATATCCTTAAGTTGCCCAATCGACTAAACAAAATGTGCTGCCAACTGGAGGACAAATCGTGAACCTTCCGGGGCGGAGTCAAAAATATCGATTATTTTCGTTATTTTCCTCAGAGTAATGTAATAATATAGCCCAGGGTTTCTGCGAACTTTAATAGTGATCAGCTGATTAAGAAATTTAAACGAAACTTTTATTTTATTGTAAATTGTGGATTATTTTTGCCTGTTATTTTAAGAATTCTAAACCGTACTAACAAAGAAATTATTATTTCGATATGTTGGTACATTATTTATAATTTATGATAATGCTAATTGCTGTTAATTAATATTTAAAAAAAAGTTACATACCTATTTTAATTTGATTTAATGCAGGTTTATAAAAGAATAATTTCATTCTTAGATTATTTTATTCTAAATTGAGTGCTTTACGAATTTTATGATCTTTTTTTTGAAAACATGAAACTTTTTACATTTTTGATGCCAACTAATTGGCATGGTATTATTGGTATGAAAATTAGCCAAGAAATATTTTAAGATTTTTTAAAAATGTATACAGGGTGTTTCGAACAATCTGGTCATTGATTAATCACGATCCTGCTTAAAGCGCTTGACGTAAAAAGCTGATTTTTAGAAAACGGATTGACATTAGGGTGTAGAGGTTCGATAAGAAGGGATTTTTCTAAACTCGAATTCTAAGGGGGTGAAAACGCCCCTCAAATATTACAATATTTGTTATTTAAAAAACGGTTAGTCTTTTGGGAAAACGCTTGGACACGCATAATTTATTTTGTATTTTTACATATTTTGAAATTAAAAAAAAAAGTTTGGGTAATTGATTACCCACGATTCTGCTTAAACTGCTTGACGTAAAAAGCTTATTTTTGGCAAACGAATAAGTTGCAAATGATGATTTTGATGATGACACATATATGAGATCATGTCCTTAAAAAGTTAATTATCTATTATTTTCATAATTAAGGGTATTAATTATGTATTATCAAAGTATTATTCTGTTTATATGTAGTGGTCATACGAGTTGTTTATTAGCACAAATTATCAGAAATATTTATTGGGATTGTTAAAAATACCCAATAACCAATAAAGATACTAATCTGCACCGAGCCTATTGAATTTTGACGCCATAATATTTTATATATGCTCGCAGTAAGACAATACGGGGCTTAGTTTTATTGTTTTTTATAAAATAATATAATACAATTTAAAATCAGGCTAATAAATAAAAGGATATGACGAATAATTAAAGATTTTCACTTAAAACCTGTTAAAAAGTGCAAAAAAATGATCTTAAAAGTCCATTTTACTAATCTGAAAAAGTAGTAAAATAAGCTTTCGGCATTTAACGTTTTATGTAAAACTGGCTAGGTATTTTTACACAAATGAAGAAGGAAATTAAAGATAAAAGATTACACTGTATCTGTATTGTAGCACATTTTTATACAACTTCATTATTTTTAAGATTTTGATTTTCGAAAATAAAGACATAATTTAAAATTCCGTTACAATACGGAAATTTAAACAAACAAAACTAACAAAACAAAATTTATAAAAAAAAGATTGAAGTTTTGTAATTACAGTGATATACAGGGTGTCATTGAAATGGTGTAAAAAAATCGGGGGGTGATAGTACTCCTAAAAATAGTAAAAAAAGTTCCTATAGGTATAGGGGCACTAAAAGGGCGAATTTAAAAAACATTGGTTGTTTTAAAATTGTAGGCTTAAGAAATGAGATAAAATTTCGAAAAAAAATCCTCTGCCATAAATTTTGACCCTAAATCAAATGGTGATACTAAAAAATTATTTGGAAAAGCGAAAAGGGTGGTTCTTACAAGGGTAGGTTTTTTTTTCGTGAATAACTTTTTTGAGGTTATTTTTTTTGCAACGTGCGTTCATTTTTTGAAAACTACATACTTTTTCCTACAACCCCCTACCCTTGCAAAAACTACCCTTTCCGCTTTTCCAAATAATTTTTCAGTATCACCATTTGATTTAGGGTCAAAATTTATGGCACAGGATTTTTTTTCAAAGTCTTATCTCATTTTTTAAGCTTACAATTTCAAAACAACCGTTTTTTAAATTCACCCTTTCTGTGCCCCTAACTCCCTTATAACTCTGTTTTTTTTTCTCAGGTAAGATTTCGACAGACGATGACAGAAGAAAAGCAGATGACGTCCCATACCAATCTATTTATTTTACTAAAAAAAGTTTCTAATAATTTTTAAGTTATCTATGGATGGGTCAATGCCTTCTATTAAAAGATCAGCCTACGGGCGAGATTTATGACGTCACGCTAGTTAGATATAACGGATTAATAAATATGTTGTAGAATACATGGAAAACATAATTATTCCTCAGATTTTTGGTTTGTATTTTAAAAATGATATAGTTTAAATGAAATATACATAATATACAGTTAATAACTACAACATATATACCTATTTATAGTAATAAATACTTTGGCAAATAAACTATGAACCATACAAATGCAGCAAATGTTTTACAATGTACAAATAATGTATAGGTACATAAGATAATGGGTAAAATGTAAATATATTTTAAATTTTGGGGTTTGAAAATCGATCTAATTTAACAAAAACATTTAATATCTACTAATAGTGATGTATTATTATTTGCATTCACAAAATTTATATGTATATTTTTGCAAGTATCAATGTTCGAAAAATTATATTTACAAATAATACAATATTATCTAAAAAGGCGTCAGCGATGGCTATGAAATGAAGATCGCTGGCATTTTATATGTTAAATTATTCTAAAATTTTTGATTTTCTTGGGATTTTAGGTTCGGGAAAAACGCTGATTAAGTTTTCATTTGGGTTTTCATTATTTTTATTTGGTTTAAAAAAACGTTTCGGCTAACTATAGCCTTCACAGTGTTGTGTCATATGAGAAAAAATAGTGTCGAATATAATCCAAAAATTACATATACAATATAATTCACACCTCATAATGTTTACTGCAATTAATAAACTAATATAAACTTATCAAAAGATGACCACATATTTTTTAAAATTATTATTCTTAACACTAAAATTATCTACATTGACTATGGAGTACGCAGTAAACATTATGTGCGTGGTGTGAATATTTTATATGCAATTTTTGGATTATATTCGACACTATTTTTTCATATGACACAACACTGATGGAGGCTATAATGTTAGCCGAACCGTTTTTTTTTAAACCAAATAAAAATAATGAAAAACCAAATGAAAAATCAATCAGCGTTTTTCCCGAACCTAAATTCCAAGAAAATCAAAAAATTTAGAATATTTAGAATCAAGGTTCAAGAATATCAAATTTTCCAAGATTGTAAAATTCTAGTTAATTATTTTATGTGTACAGTTATTTAGGGAATGGCATCGATGTTCATTTCCAAGCCAACTAGACGCCGATTTTTTTCGATGATACGGTATAATTCTTACGTAAAATGTAAATAACATTAAACCAATTAAAACCAAGAAATATGAATTTCTTAGTATTTTTAGTAACACCTTTATTCTTAAAACTTAATTTTGTATTATGCAAATATACCAATTTTATTGTTATTTTATTCATATTGTATTCAGCCATCACTTAAATATTTGATATTAATTTGGTATTATAAATAATCAATACTATTCATTAAAAATTACTGAACAAATATATGTTATGCTTAACATACATTATATATTATCAAACAAAAACACATTCTTCTTTTTTTAAACTGTATCAGTCTTGTCTTTACAAAAATCTTTTTAAAATTTGAACTCAAAATAATAATCTTTTTCATGATCTCTAATACACATATTCTTTATTTTTCCCTAGATCATAATACCTACTTACGTGTTTGAATCTATCGAAGCTGAACCAGCAACACTTGGAGTGGAGATTCCACAATATGAATAAAATAAACATAATTGTCCAGTTTTCATTAATACCATCATGGGAGAATATTATTTTTAAATTTATTAAAGATATTTTCAATAAAATTCTCTTGATTTATAACTCGTACCCACTTTTCTTGCTCTTCCGGACACTTTAGGCTGCCTCGTATAATAACTATCCTTAGTAACCATCCTTTCCACCAGGAACACAATAAAGATGAGGCATAGCACCAATAACACACTCCACTTAAGCTTTATTGATGAATTGTTAGAGTCTTAAAAAACACACACAAAAATCACGATAAGTAAAAAATGTATGGGCACTTTTAGGTTAAATCACTTGCACAACGTGTAATTTTTAAAATTTCTATTTTTTTGTGCGAAACCGAGAGTGACCATATATCTGGTAGTAGTTTATGTCACTTCAACACCAAAATAATTAGTTTTTTGCACTACAATAATAAATAATACCAAAAATCAAAGAGTTAAAACCAAAAATCAACCGACAAAATATGAAACGGAATCTAACCCAATATCTAAGTATGTACAGCTGATGAAGTAAACAAAAGTCCGCCCCCAGGCTGATCTTTTAATAGAAGGCATTGGATGGGTTTAAATATAAATCCGTCATGCGTCGTCATTTTGTTGTTTTTAACTAGTTTTATTGGTTTATTTAAAAAATGACAGATCGTATTTCAAGTTTATTGGTTTGACCGAACGATGAACGACAAACGGACGCCGATGCGTATGAACTCGCCTTTAGATTTTTGTCATTTTTGACGCTTGTCAAAGTCTTGCAAAATTATAGGTTATAATTTTGTGTCAACTTTTGTTAAATACCCTCACAGAATACCCTGCGTTTTGGAAGATGATGCATTTTGATTCGTATTATTACGTGTGTTTTGTGTCTTTTGAAGTCAAGTGGAGAAAAAATCGAGTGAAAATTAACTGTAGAACCCAGAGCACAGTTTATGGTTAATACACGCTGCCCAGGCAGAAAGTCTTATACACCAATGAAGTTGCCATCGATAAAGTTTGTATACCATCTCGTCGTAGATAAGTGCATCTCGTATATAAGGATCAAACTAAACACATACTAAAAACTGGAGTAGCTGTAAAATATCGACATCACACGATAGGTAAATAAAGGATTTTAGTACTGCAGAAAAATAATGTCAAAAGGTACTGGTTTAAAAAAATTAAGATTAAAGTTAATTAATCAACCTTTAAGGTATAAAATTTGGTAGGTGTTATTATTAATAAAATAGTTTGTTTTATTTACCTATGTTGTTTTATTTATTCCTGTGGAATATTACAAATTTGTATTTGCACATAAGTTATATTGATAAATATAATCATAAATGCGGGTAGTTTCATAAAGCTTGAAAGTAAAAAATAGTTCTTTTTATATTTTTTGGTATGTAGTGTCTTGTTCTTGTTTGTTTTGTATTAACACATACCGTTTTCATTAAATAAAATAACTCGATTACATTTGTTCAGTTTTATACAGTTTTTTTCACAATATTTTGAAGTAATCACTTGTCATCTTGTCAATCAAATTTTAAATATTTCCTGCTATGCGTTCCAGTTGTACCAACTTATTTCTTTGTAAAATAAAATAAACTACTTTGAAATTAAAATGACAGACACATCTATCACTGTTAAGGATCTTCTCGTTGGACAGACTATAATATGCATTTCCGCCCTATACTTTATTTACTATTTTTGGGAGTACTCACTCATTACCCCCCGAATTTTTTACACCATTTCAATGACACTCTGTATAATTTATATGGTTTTGTAACAAATTTCTCGCTATTTTATGACAAATACTGAAGCCCTGCAAACCTTAATCAAGCCTTAATCAAAGCACGTGTGTTTGGAATTTTGTACGTGGCTTAACACGACAAGATCGGGCTAAGCCTTGGGCAGATTTCTGAAATATAATATACAGTTCGTCTGCTGGATCTGTGTCTATGAAATGAATGCGGACAAAAAACATTTAAATAAACAGCAATATATTTTATACGTCGACTTGACGAGTACGTCACCGCAAATCGCTCCGCCCACTCATTTTATTGGCTACTTGCAAATTTGTCGAATTTTTATTGATGGGACGCGTCATCTAATTTTTTACGAAAAACATCCACAGAACGGACATATCTATGGGACAGACGTACTGTATATTTCCTTCGGCCACATACCCGCTTTACCCGACCCCTGAGAGCGACCCGAACAGTACAGCGTAATAGACTCTTAATGAAGAAAATGACAGAGTAAATATTCTAATAGATATATTAGAATCAATTAGAACATGTCTTTGTTGGAGCTGAAATTAAGATAAAACACAATAATTTTTCCAAAAAAATCCTTTATGGGTATTTCGCCACTGTACTGCAAGAAAATCTACAAAATTGGTGAAACATCTAGGCCCTTAAATGTTAGAATTAAAGAACATAAAGATTATTTAAGAAAGGGAGATTTTCACAAATAATCTAAGTTTTGTCAGCATTCTTGGGACACAGGATAAATTTTAATAACGCGAAAATTATAATGAAAGAAGCGATAGCCTCTAAAACAAAAATAAAAGAAGCTTTTTTAATTCAATCTAATAAAAATAAATGTATTGCTCATGCATCTGTAGATGTTAGTAATGTATGGCAATCGCTTCTTTGATTTTAAAGAACAATAGATACAACAATATAAATAAACATAACATACGTAAAATTTAAAAATAATCATACATAAAGTTTGGAGCTTTTTGGTTTTACCTTATTAAGTAATTGTTATCAGGTAGTAAAATTGTTAATTTTAAAGTTTAAATATCAAGTTAAAAATGTCATTTTAACAGAACGTCAACGGTTTCTTGTAGACGTATCTGTTTTAAAAAAGTAAAGTGTTCTCGAATAGTTGAATTTAAATATTTTAAAAAGTTTTTTTTTCTTTATTCTTTGTATTTTTTTGCTTCCGACGACGGAAAGAGATAACTTTCCGAAACGTTAAACATTTTTTTGTCTCTTTGTTAGACAAATTAGTATTACTGTAAACATAACTTCTTATAAGCAGCGTCCGTTTAGGTTTAACGCAGAAGTGTTTACAAAAAATAATTATTTTATTTTGTAGATTTTCTTTCAGTGCAGTGGCGAAATACCCATAAAGGATTTTTTTGGAAAGATGAATCCGCCACATAGGTATAGACATTTTTTAAAACACAATAATATTTGAAAGAGACTTTCGAGTACTTACTTTTCTAGTTTGTATGATTGATGTAGTTATACCAGCTACCGACATAATAACAATAGCTATGGCGTAGTAATAGTAGAACTCAGCTATCCAAACGATTAAACTAAATAGTTGAAACATGTAAAACGGAGTGAGAGCTTCCAGAGCAAGCAGTGTCAGAATACTTTGTTGTGGAGTTATGATTTGGTTGGTCCCATATACCATACGCCTATAAAAAAAACGTTACTTGTAGCTAACTATACACTATAAAAACAAGCATGACTTTTTATATCTATAATTAAATATTTTTTATGCATAAATCTATGCATACCTAGACCCTTAAAATTTTCATGTGTTGTAAAGCTTATTATTTTTTGTATTAGTGAAGCGATTTTGATGATTTTTTAAACAATTTGTAGCTAAATTTAGCCACAGCCAGAAATAAACATTGAAGGAGAGGAAATCTACGTGAATACCAACAAAATAAAAACCGCTATAATGTCTTTAAAGAATGGAAGAGCATGTGGCCCAGAGGGAGTATATGCGGAACTCATAAAATCTGGAAGCGAAAAACTGTTTAGAATGTCAACAAACATAGTTAACCGGTGCTTAAATGGTCATCCAGTACCTGAAAAGTGGAAAAAAGCATATATCTCATCTATATATAAAAAGGGTTCAAGGAAGGATCCCAATAACTACAGGAGAATTTCGGTCACCAGCACTATGAGTCGCCTCTATCGAAGGATACTGAGGAACTTAATTGAAGAGGAATACTCCAGCTACGAAGAAGAAGAGCAGAATGGTTTCAGAGGCGGAAGATCATGTACAGATAATATCTTTGCTTTGAAGAAGAAATCTGCAATGAACCAGGAAGTTCATATAACATTCATCGATCTACAAAAAGCATATGATACAGTGCCAATAATAAAATTATGGGAAGTATTGCACGAATCAAGAATTAACGCAGCTCTGATAGCTGTACAAAATCTTTACCATGGAGGAAAATCACAAATAAAAACGGTCAACGGTCTCTCAGCGGAAATTTCTATCACTAAAGGGCTCCGACAGGGTTGCTGTATATCCCCAACACTATTTAAAATTTATATTGCCAGGGCCTTATATCTATGCAAAAGAAAATGTAACGGAATGGGTATAGAACTAAATGACATATGCCTATACACCTTGCAATTTGCGGACGACCATAATTGTAAACGACAAAGATGACATGGAATATATGGTGCTGAAAATAATTGAAGAATATGCTAAATGGGGTCTCACAGTAAATACAAAAAAAACAAAATACCTTCCAATTGGAGCCAATACAGAAAATCTTATTTTAGACAATAATATGGAAATTAGGGCATGTGAACAATTAATATGATACGGCCACGTTCAGAGAATGCACAATGAAAGAATTCCAAAACAAGTCATTCATTGGATACCACCTGGTAAACGAAAGAGAGGATGTCCCGAAGAAAACATGGATGGAAGGAATAAGAAGGTCGATGAGTGAGAAAAATTTGACCGAAGATCAATGGGAAAATCGCACAGGGTGGAAGTTAGGCATCGGACAACGTCATAGGACGTTCTGACCCGAATTTGTATATATGTAGCTAAATTATTTGTCTTTTTTCGTCCACTAATAATTAAAAATTAGAGTTCCTATCTGTCTATTATATACGGGTAAAAACAAAAAGTTGTTGTTTTGGCGAAAGTTTGAAACACCCTGTGGAACGGTTTAATAAAGTAATAAGCTTGAAAATCACTCTGCCATGAAGATGCATCTTTTTTCGATAGTTTCTTTTTTGATTCATCTCAATAGCTTTATTTTTATTGGAGATACTTGCTTTTAAAGATGACTAGTAATGATTTACTGCCATTCTTTACATTAAAAACATATTTTTGCTTTTGGTCCTCATCAACACACCTATGCATTAGTGTTTATTATGTTTGTCAATGTCACTGTCATTGGAACAGTCACATTATCATTTTTTTGGCAGTTTCTCTAGCAGAGATGGTTTTAAGTACAGAAGTTGATCTCTACCATGCCCAATTAATGCAACAATACAAATTCTGGGCTTGAAACTAACTCTGCTAGAATAATAACTGCCAAAGAAAAAATAATAACAAGATTTTCAATGACAGTGACATTAAAAAGACAACAAACATTCTTTCAGAGGTGTGTTGATTGCTAGAACCAAAAGCAAAGACACGTTTGTAATGTTTAAATTGTTGTAAATCGTTGTTGTCTTCTTCAGAAGCGAATATCTCCGTCAAAAATAAAGCTAATTGGATAAATCAAAAAACAAATTATCGACAAAAGATGCATCTTGATCACAGAGCGGTTTTTAAATTCCTTACTTAGTTAAAGAATTTCACAGAGTGTTTTAAACTTTCGCCAAAATGACAACATTCTATTTTACCTCGTATAACAGACAGACAAGGGTTTTAATTTTTAATTTAAAAAGGTGATTAAAAAGTCAAATAATTTAGCTACAAAATGTTTAAAAAATCATCAAAATCGGTCCACTAGAATGAAATATATTGGAATTTAAAATACATGAAAATTTTAAAGTGCGTAAAAAACTAAAACAACCTTACTTTCTGATTTGTTCGTCGTTCGATTGTCCTTTAATAAAATCGTGTAAATCTTTCTTGGAAATGCCGTTTTCTAGACCAGCTAATTTCACAAAATTTCCTCTGATTTCATCCCAAATATAAATCAGTTTTTTGCACTTAATCACTCTAATTTGAGGTTCCTCTAAAATATCACAGTTAATATATTAATTATTTATACGAAATATTATTAATTATTATTACCCATAGTTTCTCCATGAGCTAGTCTGAATTTTAAAAGGTTCGCCACATCTTTTTTTCCATTTAAATTGTTACTAAAATTTTTATAAAATAAAAATATGTATTTCTATAAAAGTATAGTTAGATTTACCTGGATATGGTATTGACGCTTTTCACAAAATGCGTTTTCAGTTTTCCCGTATAGTTGTCCTTAAAATAGAATTCAGAAATTTAGTATACCGTACGATCGAAAAAAAACGTCACCATAATTATGCATATATTTGTTTTTCCAAGTGATTTTTTTTACATTATTAATGTTTGATTATTTATAGGGACTATTTTGAAAGAATATACCGTTGATTCTTGATTCGAAGGTTACCGTGACACCGTTTTTTTTTCGATCGATAAATTTTTTAGAAAAAAATTATTGTAATTGTAATTTTTTCCTGAAATATACATAAGTAATAAGAACATAAAAAACTTACAGTTATTAGTACTTTCTCAGCACGTCGCAGATCGCTAGGGTTATGTGTGGATTTTAAGTGCCATACAGGGTACCAGTGAAAAATTAATCTCAGTATACCGATGGTTAGAATGTAGAAAAACCAGCAAATGTTGTTTTTCAACCTACTGAATACAAATCCTTGTATTTCCTAAAAAAATAATAGATACAGTATAAAGAAAAATTGAGCTTGCAGTAAGCTTATTACAAGTTTAAAAATTTCTTCATTCCGTTATATTTTTCTTTAAATATATACAGTGTGGTCGAAAAATAAAGGTAATAATGTTTAACGATTCAATTTTTTTAGAGATTTTTTCAACTGAAAGTCTTATTGATAATTTTATAATATACAGTGACCAAATATTTAAAAAAAATACCACTATACGTTAGAATTTATACCTACCATTTGGTCGTCTTCACCAAAATTAATATGTTGTACACCTCCCCGTGGAGACACATGATTTCCATTATTTGTATTTGGTTTTTTTAATTGACTATCTAAAAAAAAGAACAACATAGATTTAAAAAAAAATATAAATTTTCTATAAAATATAATTTAATTTCATTCGTTTTTTGTTAATATTTTTTTTGTGTTCGTACCCATATTTTGGAAAGCTAGGTGCAGCAGTCATTGGGAAAATGATTTGAGGCATAAGAAGTATAGAATTTATAAGCCAATTACAATTATATTGCCATAAGATAGGCAAAAATCATATTTTATCTTGACAATGTGACAATAACGTATTATAAGTCCAATAAAGACTGTAAAAGATAATATTTTACTTTTTATGAATGAAGCCATACTAGGCTCACTTCGTAAGTAATTGAGGATTAGTGCATTCTGTTTTTTCATTAATTTGCGTCACGAGAAAAAAGATTTATCACTAAAGAAAAAAACTGGATACAAATATTACATCTATTAATAAGTTTAAAATAATATTATAGATATTGCACTCCAACTACTATAAAACTACACTCACCAGCACGTACAACGGACACACCTTAAAATATTCATGTAATTTAAAGTTTAATATATTTTGTTTTAGTGGGCCGATTTTGATGATTTTTTAAGCAATTTGCAGCTAAATTATTTGACTTTTTAGTAGCTCTTTCTAAATTAAAAATGAAACTTTCTATCTGCCAATTATACGAGGAAAACCAAAATGTTGATATTTTGGTGAAACTTTCAAACACCCTGTGGAATATGATAACAACGCAGGAAATTTAAAAATCATTTTATCATCTAGGTACGTCTTTTCTCGAGAGTTTTTTTTTTTTCATCTCAATAGCTTTATTTTCATTGGAGATATTCCCTTTTGAATAAGACAGTAACGATTTACAGCAATTTTAGCATTGATTTTTGGTCCTTGTCCTTATCAATCTATACTAATACTAATAGAAGAAAAAAGATTAAACGGCTCAGCCCTCAACAACTCGTAACCGTATACACCAGTGTACACTAGTGCAGACACGCACGCTCACACACTCACACAACCACACCTACACTAGTGCAAACTGATGTAACTGCCTTCAGGCTTCATCAGTACGGTAAGGAATGAGGAAGCGAAGAAACCGATCCCAAAACACAAAAAACCAGGAAGCAAACGATGCAACGAGGCACCGTGTGCAACCCAGGAGATGGAAAATAAATGACGAAGAAACGAAAATAAAAGATGGAAAATAAAAGGAGCAAACGGGAGCCTAAAGCCCCAATTTGCAGCCAAGAACCAGAGTCGCCCAGGATTGTGGGTTTCGTCCAGAACAGCCGCAGATGTAGCCAACAGCAACCCGCCGCAATACCCTTAGCCGTGGTACCAATATGGAAAAGAAAGAAATAGTGAGGGAAATGTATAAAAAAGAAAAAAGATTAAACGGCTCAGCCCTCAACAAGCACTTGTGTACACTGGTTACGAGTTGTTGAGGGCTGAGCCGTTTAATATTTTTTCGTCTTTTTTATACATTTCTCTCACTATTTCTTTCTTTTTCTTTTTCATACTAATACTAACATATATAAAATCCTTAAGTGACATAGGAAGGGATTTTTGGAAGTTCCAGTTCCAAGGGGGTGAAACCACCTCTCAAACATTACAATATTTTTTATTTAAAAAACGGTCAAGTTTCCGAAAAAACGCTTAAACAGGTATATTTTGTTTTGTTTTTTTACATATTTTAAGATTTTTTAAAAATGTATACAGGGTGTTTCGAAAAATCTGGTCATGGATTAATCACGATCCTGCTTAAAGCGCTTGACGTAAAAAGCTTATTCTTTTTTTTGAAAAAATCACAATGCCGCAAACGTATCGTGGCTATTTTGATCGGTTTCGAAGCTACAGGAGGATTCTCAAATTTTGTACTTTTTGAAAGTGTTCGATAGTTTGTTTATTTCAGCAACTACCCAAAAATGAATTATACATTCTGAAGGCACTTTTCTGTGTAGAATGCAGTGGCGTAGTCAGACTTTTTTCGAAAAAAATATTTTTTTAGATATTAACTGTACTTCTGTTTTGTTAAATAGTTTCCTGATTCAGCTTGGCATAGGCTTCTCGAAAATATATAACACTCTATATTTATTTTCACTATTACCTCAACATTTCAAATTTTTCTTAAAATATCCAGTTAGTATAGTAGGCCGCGCCGAGTAACAAAAGATGAAAGTCTGACTACGCCACTGCATTCTACACAGAAAAGTGCCTTTAGAATGTTTAATTCATTTTTGCCTAGTTGTTGAAATAAACAAACTATCGAACATCTTCAAAAAGTACAAAATTTGAGAATCCCCCTGTAGCTTCGAAACCGCTCAAGATAGCCACGATCCGTTTGCGGCATTGTGATTTTTTCAAAAAAAAGAACCCGAGACTGCAGTATCAAAATTTGAATATTTCTCACGGTTTCCTAGATACCCTATAGAAACAACCAAAATGGTCCACCCTGTACAGTATTGAACCTTTAACTAGTTCTGAGCTAGGGGTTGGCAGATAAAGATCGTGCTCCGCTTTCCAAAGTGGATAGTTGTGAGGTGGCCTTTCGGGAACAGCAGATATATGTGCTTGCGGATTAAGCAAACGGATCCAAAAATGATTAAAGAAGTAATAGTCAGTATTTTAAAAATTTTAAAGAAACTCTAGCAGTGAGTTCTACCGTTAATAAATATCGAACTGCTCTCTTTTGAAGTTTGAAAATACGATCAAATTTTGTTGCGCAGCAAGCAACCAGAATGGAAGGGCATAACGAAGATGTGACTCAAAAAGAACATAATAGGCTATTCTGGAGGTTGATAAGGTAAGAGGTTAATAAATATCGAACTGCTCTCTTTTGAAGTTTGAAAATACTGTAAAATTTTGTCTCAAATAAATAAAATAAAAAAATTTAGAAAGATATACTAGAAAGTCAAATAATTTAGCTACGAATTGCTTAAAAATCATTGAAATCGGTCCACTAGAACACGCAATAATATATTTAATATTGCTACAATTTGTAATAATGGTTTTCATTCAAATTTCAACGGTTACCTACAATCTGAATATTCTCTGGCACAAATTGTGAGAATTACCACCACACTTATTGTTTGCAATTTTCGTAGAAGATTAAGCATATTTAACTATTTTAGAGATCAATTACAAATTCATAGAAATAAAAGATAAATGCAGCAGTGTTTTCTACAATTTTTCCATGTAATTGTAGGTAACTAATAGGGATCATGGCGACCTCAATGAACAGATAAAAATTGCTCGGTGCCCTAAATTTTTGACAGGATGAATACTGACGTCAGCACAGTGTAGAGAGGGACTCAAATTATCAAGTGCAAGGACACAATTATTCACTTAATCGAGGAAATTTGTACAATTGCGGTTGATATAGCCTAAATACATATTTATTACCAGAGATGCAAGCTCACAGTAAACTTTTTTTTTTTTTGATTTAAGTCATTTTAATGAGTTAAGTCATTTGATTTTAAGTCATGTTTCGAAAGCTGACTTAAGAAGACTTAAAAAAAGAAATTATTTCGAAATAGAAAAAGGTTTGTAGAATGTAGAATGTAGGATGAAGAGGGGGGGGGGGTAATCACTGCAACCTTAAAGATCTATTGTGTCCCCCTTCCTTGAGTCATCACACAATCTATAACCCATCATACCCCTGTTGTAAAATATAGACTTAAGTCACTAAAAGACTTAAGTAACGTTAAACTGATTTAAGTCCTTAAAACAATGATAAGACTTGAAATAAAATGATTTAAGTCAAAGACTTAAGACTGAAGATTTAAGTCTTTTGTAAACTGACTTGTTGCAGCTCTTTAAGTTCGAATATATACCGAAATAGGGTTCAATTGGTTGATGTAATTGTTTATTCCAAATTACGTTTGCATGTTTTATGGAAGGAAGTCATAATTTCACAGATAATGCATCTTATGTCATACTAGGATTACCTTTTATTTCGAGATATAGAAATAAACAATAAAAGCGTATTAGTACAAATCAAATGCTATAATTCATTAATAAATCGTCTAATTCTCAGAAAAGTTTCTAATTATAAGCGATAAAAAGATAAAAAAAACGAACTTAAAATAGATTAGAATCGAAGAAAAAATAGATTTGTTACAAGCAACTAGTTACAAGTTCTATTTAGCTTGCAATGTTAAATATGTCCATTTTTCTAGTAAGTTTCACAATTTTTTTAATCTTTTTTTTTTGTCCGATTTTTTAAAAAACATATTTTTTATACAAATGTTTTTATCTTTATCATGCTATAAAAAATATAATAAGCCGACAGTTTTGTACCCAGCATGTCAAACGGTTTACTAAAATTTTCTGGTTATTTTCAGATAATCTCATTGTTGAAAAATAGCTTAAGGATAATTATCAAATAATATAAATGGGCTATGCATAATCATCATCTTCATTTTCAGCTTATTCAACTATATCCAGTTATGGAAATGGTTGACCTTTATTATTTGAAGTAGTTGAAGTTGTTGGGCATTTCGAAAAAGCAATCTAAAGATAAAAAACGCTGCTAAGACTATCAAAATGTTGATCTAATAACAATTTGACGTATATACTATTACGTCAAAAGCAACTTTTTTCAAAGCCTACCACGACTTCACTAAATCATCGTTTCTTGTTCACTGTTATTAATATCTTAATTATTAGATATTATTAGATAATACATCTGGTATTATGGTATTCTGGTATTTCGTCGATTTTAAAATCAACTAACTATTTCTATCTTATTTTTTTGTTAGAATGGGCATAATCAAGAGGGCTACTGATACCGCGTTGTAAAAATAAGGTAATTAAGGACTTATTTTTTGGTATTTATTATAATTTTGCTAATATATTCGGTTTGAAAGAAGATATCAGGATGCGGTTTTCTCTGACTTTTTAAGCTTTTACTACTCTTTACTATCAGCTAAGATTACATATATACTATCGTATTTAATTTGTATGAAAAAACACGCAACGTATGCAACGCCCCCTAGCGTCTACGTTCAAAAACTTATTATT